CTTGTGCTCTTAGCCTTCCCTTTGGTTTAACAACTCTGCTTTCTGGCCCCTGAGTCTCCGACCCCAAGCAGCCGCTCAGCCTGTTTTGACTCCTGGTTTAGGAAGATCAGGTACATGGTGTGCATCACGCTGATGTGTTGTGATGGCCGGTGTTGATCGGCTCCTCCTTCCAAATGTCTTCAGTCACTCTCCTTGACCCTCCTGCATGCAAATGCTAAGAGATTTAATAGGATAGAATGTTGTAAAGCCAATCAACATTGACTCCACTGGAGTCAAAAGCTGAGTCCCTTATGAGGACTAGATAGAAACAGTCATGATCACAGAGCCTAGGAACAGCAAGGAGCAGAGCCTCCAATATCCGATACAGGTCCATTGTAGCCTATTCCTGGGGGTGTGGGGACGACAGTGAATACAAAGACAGAAGCTCCTCCTCAGGACCACCTCGAGTAATTTAGTTCAGGAGAACCCTGGCAGGTCCTTTTAGGGTCGGGGCACTTTAATGGGGAAGGACAGGAGTGTCTTTCCAATTCCTCTTTCTTCAGTTAGGGAACGCTGCCCTTGAGCAGTCAGCTGTTCCTTCCAGCTGCCACACAGAGTGCGGTCTTCGGAGTGCTTGGCAGAGTCCTTCACAGGAGTCTGTTATGTTTGGGTTTTTGGGTCTGGCCGGCGGTTCTGTTCCGTTTGTTTTAAACAGATGTAAGATGATAGGAAGATGACTGTTGATTCACTTTCTGTTGTGTTAGCAGCTTCTGAGTACTTTTGTGGACAGTTGTTTGTCTTGATTAAAAAAAATGAACAAGTAGACCAGCTGCAGCCTAAGTAGGAAGCATGAGTTTAAAGTATGTGTGATGTTTCAGTTTTGCTTTGGATTTTACCTGGAAAGGCAGCTCTCTGGGTAGGTGTTTTCTGACCGCTTAAAGCACATTCCTTATGTCAGATGGTAAGATATATATAATTGATTGAAGAAAAGAAGTTTGTTGTTCAGGGAAAAGGAAGATGAAAGAAGAGTTGAATCAATAAAATCAATTCTTATTTCAGCAGAGAGGGCAGTTTTATTTTTATTTTGTGCTAATTAACTGAATCATATTTATTTTCTTTCAAATATACCAAATATAAAAACACAGGTTGAAGTCCTAGTATCTGAACTTGATGATGATCCTGAGCCCCACAGCAAGACAGGAAAAATAAGTGTATCTGCATGTTTTGTCTCATGCTGGCATTTTGCTTAATTTTTGTTTACCAGTATTCTTTTGAAAAATACTGTTGTGTGAGCACTTCAGCTGAGATGATTTGGCTCTTTTTTGTGGCTTTCCTCTTGCTCTGCACATCAGCACTGTGGTTATTACACCGGTTACCCAGAAATCTTGCATGCCTTGGTATCTAACTGTCAGTCCAGACCAGGCCATGCCCCACACATGCCCCAAAGGTGTTTAACAAGAAGTTGCAAAAAAGAACTTTGGAACGTGTGTATCTAAATTGCTCATACTTCAGTGGTTTTTGTTGTCTCTGCTGTTTCAGTTCTCTTGGTGAGGTGTGAAATGGTAGGAAGGAGTCACATCTTTCTGTCCTGAAATAAAGTAATTCTTTAGCCTGTGTCCTTAAGAAGGATCATAGAATTTTCACCAGGTCGGGGTTGCTGCTCAGATCCGTGTCTAGTGAGCAGAAGAATCAGAACTTTTCAGCATGTGGCCCAATGACCAGTGGGCTGAGGGATCAGAAAACCCCCTCCTTTGGAGCTCGGACTGTGTAGAGCTCGGGGAATCCTTCCCTCGGTGGGCAGTTCTTGGGTATTCATGCCCTTCTGTAATTTCAGTTCATTTTGGCCTGGCCACTCGTCTTAACTCTCATAAAGCTGATTTTCTTAAGCTAGTCTCTCCAAAAGGGTGGTTGTGTTTTTTCTGCTGCAAGACAAAGAATGCACAGTATATAATAGTTCACCAAAGGCTTGAGCTGGTTGGTGGCAGAGGTTAAAGAGAAAAAAGCCACAACAGATAGACGATAGTCCCAGTCCTGTGGGGTTTCCTTTCTTTTCTTTTGTTTGTTGCCACCTCATAGTGACAAAATAAATTGAAGTCTGGGCTGTTTGCTCTTTAACTTGGGAGAAATCTAATTAGGGGTTGGCCCTGTTCCCATAAACCTCTGTGCCAAGACCTCTTTGAATGAAAGCATGTTGTTTACTGCTATTAGGAAATCTCCTTCCAAAAAAATAAAGAAGAGGCTAAATAATTCTTTGCCCTCCCTAACAACATGGTATGGTCTGTGGCAGAGAGCTGAAAATGTATTAAATGTGTCTCCAAGTCTTGTGTTCTTGGTAATGATCTGTTTTCCAAAACAGAGAATAAGGTTTTAGCCTCAGGAGTTTGGCTGCTGTCAGTGGGGCCAAAGCTTCCAAATCACCCACACACACCACTAAAACCATCCCTGTGAGTTCAGTCCCGGGCAACTGGGGAACAAGTTGAGTGGTCTGCAAGTAGGTACTTGAGTACATTAAGCAGATGTCGATGCAAAGTATTTATCCCTAAGATTTGTGACCATGTTATAGAACGTACTAAAATTTCTCCTGAGCAGTGGGTTTGGGGACATGTCTCAAAAAAATGAATTTGTGTGGAAAGTTGTTTACTAGAAGTACACTTTAAATATGAATCCTGCTTTTATGATTCATCAGTTGGGGTTTTAAGTCTCTGACATTGGCCTGAGAACTTGAATATTGCTGAGGACTGTTTAAAAGTACTAGCACCACTCCCTCAGAAATCATCATCAGTTCATTAATTCACTGTAGGACAGTGGGGCTCCTTGGGAGGAAGGAAACAGATGCAGCCTGACTACAGGCTCTGCTTACAGCGTGCGGGGCGGCCACTTGTGTACATCAGAATTAGTGGCAAGTTTTCAAGCAAATCCACCGTTTCCTGTGTTGCCCACAGGTGCTTAAAATGGTATCGATCTTCATTAAAATGAAAGAGAAAATGCTTTTTTGTAAGTGGAATGTAAGACAATAAAACCTAATTGAAAGTTGTTTTAATTTGTCATAAATGTGATTTATTTTAAGAATAAGGAAATGTATATTAAGAAACCCGTATAGCTCCCTGGCAGTCTGTTCCTGCAGAAGAGAGTCGTTGAAGCGAGAAGAGACTATTGACTGAGATAAAACCTCCCAGGCTCTTCCTCTTGTTGCTGTCCTGAGTGAGCCTCCCCAGAGGAGAGGCCCTCATGAGGTCATTGCTAAGTGACCTTGGATGTCTCTTTTGGCTTGTTAACATCAGCAGAAGGACCAGACTGTGAGTTTCACATGGGCCAGAACTAGAGGGCTCTAGCTAGACCCGAGCTGTCGCTGTGCCTGGGAGTAAAAGGCCCGGAACAAACCCTCACCCCGCCTGCGCCTCTCCCACCGCTCTGCTGACACAAGGAGACTCAGAACTCCTCGGGTTACCAGGCCCCAAAGGGTGGGCCTTTCCTGGTGATAATTCTGGTGACTTAGAGGTTGAAAATCCTCCTGCATCGTGAACCTCATGGGGCAGTCTGGTGGGATCTACTTGGGAAGATTACCCCTTTCTTCAAGAGATGTTGCATCGAGTCTTACAGCATCACAGACAGAAGGAACTTGGGGGAAATGTGGCCTTTCATTTTACAGGTGAGGAAACAGACCAGTAGAGAAGGGCCTTGCACAGGGTCACGTGACCTAATTAGCAGAGTCAGGACCTAAATCAAACTTCGTTTCACAGCTGGTCTTTTTGTACCCCTTTGAAAAAGTCGTCGATATTTCACATACTGTAATCAAGGTCGTGTCGGGGCAGTTGGCTTTTGGGGAGAACGGACAAGTGAATGGGTGCCATGAGCCAGGCCCTGCACCAGAGAGCCACATTGAAGACTCAGCGGGAGGCGAAGGGCCCCTGCCTGCAGGAGCACCCGGGATAATCACGGCACAGCAAGCGGTCGTGTTGGGGGAGAGATCTGTGGGCCAAGTAGGCGTTGACGAGCAACTGCTGAGGAGGAGATGGGAGAAGTCCTTTGGGCTCTGGCAGCTTCCATCCTAGTGTTGTCCCTCTCCACCCCCATCATCACTCCACTCCCGTCACCCCCACCCCACCCGTACGTAGGAGCTAAGAGAACAGAAGCAGGCAGCTGCCACAGGCAGGAGCTGCGGTGCTTCCTGAGTCTGTGGGAAGCGCTGCCTAACGAAGGGTATCTGGCTGATTTTCTCAGGGAGCCTGTTCCCCGGAGAGGCAGTTGTCATTGTGTGTCCCCACAGACAGACACTTGACTGGTTTCTACTTCACCTCTGGCCTTCTGGCTCAGCGCTGGGGCCTGACTTCATGGCAGCAGTGAGTGTGATGCTGACCCTTCTGAGGCACACAGGGCTGGGTCTCCACGTCACTGGCCCTGTCTGGCCAAGAGAGTGACAAATAAGAGTTCAGATAAAGTTGTCCTTGGCAAATTGTGGTCTCTGCTTCATCATCCAGGAAGTCGCCCGCTTTTTCTTGAGTCAGGCCTCCCAGAGGTGCTTCGGGTCATTCCCATGACCTTTCTTCTGTGGCTCTGGACTCGGGGCAGGTTGCAGAAACCTCACGGTAGGTAAGACCCCAGGCACAAGGACACAAACAGATTTTCAGGTTCATGCTCTCCCTTTGACACAGTCGTACACGGTTCATAGCCCCTGTCAAGGGGCTTTGTTTATGAATTTACTTGTGACTTGGACCTACGTTTTGGTGGCAGACACTTTCAGTTTTAGTTTTAGTGTTGGTCGCTGTTCAGCTTCTTGCTTGAGAAGTTCCAGACTTCTAGTCTCTGTTAATCGGAAATCCCATCTGCTCTTGTTCCTTCTCTTCCAAGTGACATCACACGCCTGCTTCCGAGAAGGAGGCTGCAATCTGTGCTTCCATTCCGTCGCATTCTGACGTGGGAGTGAGCTCCCTCGGAGGTCCACAGGCTGCGGGGCAGGGTGGCGGGCTCTGGGGTCTGTTTGTTTCGGTAATGTCACCTTGGGCTTGTTGCTTTCCTTGCAGACTGTAGTGCTTTTGTCCACAAAGGCTGCAGAGAAAGTCTGGCCTCCTGTGCAAAAGTCAAGATGAAGGTAAGACATTTCTGGCTCAAGCAATAAAATCTTCGGAGCTGGGAGAGTTGGGGTTGTGGGTTGTTGTTTTTTGTTTTGTTTTGTTTTTTTGTACTTATTTGGTACCAACTTTGAGACCAGACTAATCAAAAAAAAATCTTTTTTTTTCTCCTAAGTAATTGATTCTCTTTCTAATTAATCCACTTGGGAATTTGTGGCTTTTGGGAAATAGATTCAGAACTTCTCCACGTTAAATATACCTTTCTCTGGGGTTCTCTTTGTGCGCCTGGCCACTGCGTCTGCAGATCTCTGTGCCAGCAGTTCACACACCCGCTGCCTCATGGGAGCCCCCGAGGCCAGCAGCGGGGACTGGGGGCTGGGGGCTGGGGGCTGTGGGCTGTGGAGGGTTAGCTTAGATCCCTGTCTGGCAGCACTTCCCCCCGGGTCCGTGTCAGTGGCTCTGATCAGAAGACACAAGGATGGGGCATGTCAGCCACGTGGTGGCACCTGAGGTGCACCGCTTCTTGGGCAGCCCTTAAGAAAAGAGTATGGGTTTGGGGGCATACCTTTCAGGGAGCCTGTGTTTTGGTCCCCCAGAGTGTCTCTGTTGCTGTACCTCCAGCTGCACCTATACAGATGCTCACTCAGGTGCTGTATGCTCATCGGTAACCAGACACATTTACGTGCTTGAACCAGCACCGGCACCACCTCACGGGCTCGCTGGGCCCCACAGTCAGAGGTTCAGATTCCAGGTCGGAGCCCAGGGTTGGCATTGCTAGTGAGTCCTGGGCAGTGCTGATGCTGCCAGTCCGAGGACCACACTGCAGGCGCAGTGAACCAGGGGAAGAGCAAACTTCTGCGTTCTGGATCTTACTTAGCCTGTGGACATACATCTGTGTGGCTCGTGAAGTATTTTTATTTCAGTTAATGTAGTTATTTAAAATCTTACTCCCCCTTACCCAGCATTCCCAATTCTCAGCTTTGCTCTTTTTCCCTTTTTTTCTATACTCTTAATCACTTTCTCAGAGCCTATGTTTAATAGTCTGTATTTATTAATTACATTTGCTTTTTTATGGGCTGACCCTTCCCCCATGAGAACATAAGTGCAGACTTGCCAAGCAGTCGGTCAGGAGTGTTTCCTGGGTCCACTGATGGGTCCTAAGCACTCAGCGGGGTGCCTGGCTTGTGGGTCCTTCAAGTGTCAGAGAGACGGGTGGCCGCTGCCTCCTGCAGGCGGGAAGTATATTTCCAGACGGCCTCTCTTCTCATCCCCACACCTTGCCTGTCATTTGCTACCTGCCTGGCCTTTAATGAATCAAATGAGATCTTGCCTGTTTGAACTGGGTTTGAGTATGTGATCTCTGAGGAGACCCGTCCCTATTGTGAATGTATTGTGTACTAGGTTCTGTAGGAAAATAGTGACATACAGTGTCCCCCGTATAAGAGAGTAGAACTTAAAAGGGAAGTCCCATTTTTATTTGGAAGTGACTGTTTTCCACTAATGAGTTATCCCAGACTAGCTGCTGCAGGCTGTGGTTTCTCACACGAAGTGAGTCTGTTGCAGGCTACAACAAAAGTCCTCACTATAAACAGCGCTTACATAGGAATTATTTAGCACCTGATACATGCTAGTCACTGGAGAAATCGAATGCAGAAGGCACAGCAGGTGTTCAGGGACCGGCATGCTGGTGGGGCAGGTGGGCAGGCAGACGATGACCACAGATGAGGAAACCACTAAGTGGAGGGGTACACAGCATCCTAGTGGGATTCCGGGCACTGTCTTGGGGAGAAGCAGAAAGCAGGATGGCTTTGCCAGAGAGGCAGTGCACAGATAAATGGTTGCTCGAGAGAAGACTGTCAGTCCTGTGAGGGCAAGATGACTCCAGGCAGAAGAACGCCGCATGTGTGGCCTTGGCGTGCGAGGCGGGTTCAGAGGACAGGCGGTGGGGGGTGACTGGCTGGGACGGAGGGTACTGAGGACCACGGGCAAGGGACTGAGCAGGAAGGTTAGGAGCACCTGGCTGTCTTCCCACTCTAGGCTCCTTGAAGCTTGACAGAAGAGAAATCGTAAACGCAGTCTTCACGAGTTTGTTTTCCTTTCTCCCAGCAGCCCAAAGGGAGCCTGCAGGCACAGGACACGTCTTCCCTGCCCACGGTCATCATGAGGAACAAGCGTAAGTGGCTCAGCCCTCTCATAGTTCTCATTCACTCTCAGGTTCAAGACCTGTATCCTATTCATTTGCTATTGATCAAGATTTGAGTACCCATTTTGTGGTAAGTTGTAGGAGGCTGCAGATTTTTTGACCAAAATCTTAACATTCTACCATGAAACTCTCTTGGAAGATTTCTAGTCAGTGTATGAGCTTAAAAGACAGCACCGTGGTCCTGTGTGTTTAAGCAGCTGACCCCTGCGCATCCTAAAATTCCTCTTCAGTGAGTTGGCAATCATACTTGTTTGTAATGCCTCACACTTGAATGTATCAAATGAGATCTTTCCTACTGAACCTCATTCTGCTTCTCCAGCCCCTCACGGATCCCTTTCACACATCCTGCTTGCTCCCTCTTGTACTTACCTCTCCACCTTAGTACTCTAATACTGCCTGATCACGTCTGCCCTCATCCATGCAGTTCTCCTCAGCGTAGTGCCCTCGCTCCTTCTGACCTGTCCACGTCCTCACCAAGATCCAGTGTCGCTTCCTCCATCAGCTCTGATCTGCTCACCCCGCCCTGACGCTGAGGCTGTGCCCCCTGCTCCTGCACCCTTGAGTGCATTCGTGTTTCTCTGAGCCGCCTGCACCCTCCGCTGGGTCAGGCCCCCATCTCATCCTCCTGGTGTGCTTCCTGCAGGAAGGGTCTGGTCATGTTGTAGTGTGGCGTGTTTCTGGTGTTTCAGTGTGTCACCTTCTTCTAAATAGAATTGGAATTGGAAATTAATGGTTTTATGGAGCTTTATTAAGGCAGAAACATCCTGATAATACTGTGAAGTCATAACAGCCACCCCAGTCTTATTTCCTTCGGCTCCTGGGGATGGGCCGATAATGCAGTTTGTGTCTGGGGCAGGAGCTTGCTTACCAAGGAAGAATAATTTCCTATGCAAATGCCAGTGTGACCACGTTAGCATAAAATTAGGGCTCCGGGTTCCTCTTTGGTCACGTTCAGCAGAAATACACAGTTTGAGGACAAATGAGCTGTGTGGCATTAAACAAGCCTTGCGTCTTCCTCATCTGTAAATTGAAGGGATTGGTCAAAATCCGTGTTCTCAGACAGCATGCAGAGGAACCACGGGGAGCTCGTGCAGTGCGTAGACCTCCCTGGGCCCACCCGCAGCAGGCGGGAGGGCTGGCCCTTTGCACATCCAACCGGCACCTCAGCCGTGCCCTGGCAGGCGCTCCCAGTGGGTGCTGCCTCTGCTGTCTCTGCCGGTCCTTTTGTCCTGCCAGTCTCTCAGTCTCGTTTTGTTTTGATTTAGTGTAAGTGTTGGCATACATAACGTTTCCACACAATTCTTAATTCTCATTGACTGGTTTCCATCCCACCCTACCGGTAATCACTCTTTTTAGTTTTATACTTTCCTTTCTCAGTTTTCTTTATTAAAGTTTTTTTGTATTGAATTAATATGAGATTAATTTTTCTTTAAAAAAATTATGACTGTCCTGCATTTTATTCTACACCTTGATTTATCTTCCCCCTTACTATATTGTCTTCAAGATGTGTCAATTCGTGGAGGATGTCCTTATTTTTTAAAACTACATTGCATAGTGTACCATAATTTATTAATTGATCTTCTGGTCCTCATTGCATCATTGCCAGTAATTGCTTTTACCAACAATGTTACACTGAATAACTATGGACATGTGTCATTTCGAGCACAAACAAGGGATCTATGGACTAAACATATTCTGAAATGGAATTACTGCATCAAAGTGTTTACACATTTACAGTTTCAATGGATTTTGCCACGTTGTCCTCCACAGAGTTTTTGGACCCTTTTACGCTCCCAGGGCAGATCCGTTCTTCTGCAGTTTGCCTCCCTCTGGCGTTTGTCAGATGAGTCAGGACTGGTGCGCACGGCTCCATGGCGCTTCATCTGTGCCTTCTCTCCCTTTGCAGCTGCGCAGCCCAAGGAGCGCCCTCGATCCGCGGTCCTCCTGGCGGACGAAACCCCTGTGGCCACCATGTTTGCTCACAGGCGGTCCCAGCAGAGCGTGTCACTGTCCAAAAGCGTCTCCATACAGAACATTGCTGGGTGAGTGGGCCCTGAGAGAGAGCACAGCTGACATCCAGGCGACAGGAGCATAATAACCGTATTTGGCAAAAGAGGCTGCTGATATATATTTTTTAAAATGTGTAAGGTAATGAATGGGCTGGTACACAACTGAGTGATTCCGATGAGTGTGAGGATTACATTGTGATGCCCTGTCGTGGTCGCCACTTTGTGACAAGAGTCCCCTTTCAATGTTGTGATAGGTTGTCCTGCACTTTTGTACCCTGATGGCCCACTTCTGAAGACCCTGCATTTGAAAAGGATGATTTCTAAATCAAAACAAGAAGTAGAAGGGGCAAAGATGATTGCATTCTGAATTGTTAGTTGCAGCCACTTATATATTTCAGGTGTCATACTTTTCTATTGGTTGGATGAACCCGGTCTGTTTGTTTCTGTTATAATTTGTTTTCCAACCTTGCCTCTTCAGTTGTTTTCGTGGGAGTGAATAGTGGGCCAGTTGTTACAGTGAGGTTCCCACCCACTCAGTGGCACTAGGTTCCTGTTGTGATCCCTGCGGAAGTTGCTGTGACCCCTTGAATGTGGAGGCCTCAGCTGTCACATGGTAGCCCAGGGCTGACCTGGCATCATTGGCTTTTTGGGCTAAGGTGCTTGACTTGCAGGCCTCAGAACACCTCTGACGTCTTTCTTACCCTTGGCTGGAGGAGAGTTCTTAACCTAAACGGTGTGACTCTATTTTTGTCTGTATTTTCTGAAGCCTCTGTGCTGGCTGATGTTTCCTCCTCCTCGAGAAAAAAAGTTTCCAGTATTTTTATTTTTTGTCTTTGTATTATCATCATCCAAAGACCTCCTTTTCAAAGTTGTTACCAATATTTGCATGTAAAGTTGGTCTTTACGTACAATTTAAAGTTGCAATGACTCTGGCTTGCTTTTATGTCACATCACAAACACTTACCAGGTGCCTACTCGCTAGCTGATGAGTTGGGGCCAAGAGAGGAAAAGAATAACTAATGTTACCCCCCAAAATTTAATATTTTTTTACAAAAAAAAGAACACTCAGTCTATGGTTATATAGAGAACAGGAAGAGATGTGTAGTGGTTAGACAGTGAGTTTCAAAAAGAGAACTTTCCTCTGTAATGTGTATATAGTCTGGGGGGAGAGGGCTCTCCTTCCTACCTATCATTTAAAAAATTCCAAGGTTCAAAAAGTTTAAGTTTGCCGTGATACTGAATGCCTTTCATTGTCAGTTCTCAGTGCTGAGTTCCTGACCTAAGTAATTTGTCTGCATTCGTGACGGTGCCTCCTGCCAGCTGTCAAACCACAGCTCCTCAGAATGGATTTGACGTGCTTCTCTTTGTCCCCAGAGTCGGCAACGACGAGAACATATCGAACACCTGGAAATTCCTGTCTCATTCCACAGACTCGCTAAATAAAATTGTCAAGGTCAATGAGTCCACAGAATCACTTACGGATGAGGGTAAGAGGAAGTTACGGCCTTTTTTCTGTAGCGATTATGTTATTTCATTACGTAGAATGCAAGTGTTGATGGAATAATAGCATCTGCCTCTTCCTTACTGTGAAGATTCTCTTAAGTTGTCTGTAAAGCATCATGTGCTTTATAATAAACTGGTGATCAGATCTGCCCAGTTGTTAGATACTTGTCCACTGAAGGATGTCATTGCTTTTAACATGGTTGTATGCTGGTACAAACTCTTTCCCCCCCAGACTTTCAGTTCTGGCTCTCCTGGCACAGTTGAAAGCTTGCTCCCTTAAACAAGTAAAGTTCCCGGGTCCCTTCCAATTGCTCCTTCACAGAGGAATCACATCTTGATCACATTTCATTTGTGTGATGGTTCTCACTCTCAGCCAAGGCCTGGAGTGTAGAGCGTGTCGCTCCCAAACAGGAAATGATTCTTTTCTCACATTAGAATATGGTTCTGTGCATATCTCCTGGACTAACGAGAGTGTTTGTGTCTTAGGAAATTATCACACCAAGGAAAGTCCAGCATAGGCTTTTTAGAGGTCACAGACCACGATCCTGATACTGGTTTTTCTGATATTTTGAGGAGTAGGTACAGATATGAATGAAGGACAGCTGTTGGGAGACTTCGAGATTGAGTCCAAACAGCTGGAAGCAGAGTCCTGGAGCCGGGTAGTGGACAGCAAGTTTCTGAAACAGCAGAAGAAAGACGTGGTGAAGCGGCAAGAAGTGATCTATGGTGAGAGTCTTTGTGTGCTCTGCTGACATTTGGTGCACTGTCCGGAATGTTTTGTCTGGTGATGTACTGGGCTTCGGCCAGTCAGTTCCCAGTGTGTAGCACCTCGGAGATCTTCTTTGATGTATAGAGATGTGATCTTATTTCTATCCTTTTTTTCTATTTAAAATTATTTTCCTTAATTTTATTGAACAGTTTATTTAATACACGTGCTTATTTATGCAACAGGCCTACAAAGAAATCTCTTGTGATAGTTTAATTCCTCCACTACACTAAGGACTAGACACTAAACAGTCATTTCTAGGAAATAGGAACATGGAAATTGTGAAAGGTTTGAATTCCAGTGAAGACCAGTGTGGAAATCACTAAAGAGTGATGTAATCCAATATCGCTGTGGTTGGCCACTGAAAAATGGAGGAAAAAGAAGACGAGACCACTTTAGGGAAAAGACAGCTATTGACCCAGTTCTAAAGGTTAAGTCGGGCTTTCAGAAGCCATAAGACTGATGGGGATCTTCATAGCAGCAGGCGATCTTGGGAGGAGAATCCTAGTAGCCGGGTCTTCCTGACCACTGAGCTTTGTCCCTCCGGCAGAGCTGATGCAGACGGAGCTGCACCACGTCCGCACGCTCAAGATCATGAGCGATGTGTACAGCCGGGGGATGATGACGGAGCTGCTGTTCGAGCAGCAGATGGTGGAAAAGCTGTTCCCGTGTTTGGATGAGCTGATCAGCATCCATAGCCAGTTCTTTCAGAGGATCCTGGAGCGGAAGAAGGAATCCCTGGTGGATAAAAGCGAAAAGAACTTTCTCATCAAGAGGATAGGAGATGTGCTTGTAAATCAGGTGAGCCATGGGGAGGAGGGGCGCTTTGGGATGCAGCCACCAGGCATTCGCATCTGGGCTGTCACATGTCCTCCGTCTGTGCCCTCAGGCGAGGTGTTTCTCTCTCCCAGCCTCCACTTCCTTTTCTGTAAGTGAGGGCAGTGGCATTTCTGTCCTAAGGCTCTTTTATATACATATATACACATTCATATATACACACACACATGTTTGCATATGTATGTGTGTATGTATATGTATATAAATATATATATTACATATATAAATGATATATAAAGTACCTAGCGTATACAGTAGATACTTAATAAAAGTCCGTTTTTCTTCCTCAGAGTCTATACAATGAGAAACAGTGTAGCTTAACAAATCAAAAAAATGTTTATTGGCAGTGTCTACTTCCCTTCTGCCTCAGATCAAAAGGACCTCACTTACCTGAAAGCCACCTGTGCATAGAAAATTTAATGAGGAACTCTCTCTGTAAGATATTTTATAAAATACATCTTACTGATATTTTCATCAAGGTGTGGTACGGTTTGAGTCTTACTCCAAAAACAATTTGGCTAAAAATTATTTTGATACTTTTATATGCGTTTATCATAGATAGTTTTTAATGTTTCTTTTTAAAACTTTTGGAGTTTTTTTTAATGTTCCTAGTATAACCTTTACAGGCTGAGGGGCATACTATCCCACCTGACTAGCTCTTTCCCCCAGAGCATCTGTGCCTCAGTGTAGACGCAGGGGCTTAGTTGCTGGAACAGTTGCCTGGGAAGGGGAAGTTTTGTCCTTCCCTTGTGTTCAGGAGTCCGACCCCTCACCTCATTCAGTCGTTCTGTCCTTTTTCTCCAGTATTTACTGGGCATCTACTAAATGCTACTTGGAACCACAAAGCTAAATATGCCTTAGAACTCTGCCTCAAGTGCTCTAGAACTAAAAATAGGCACGTTACACAAGAAATCCAAATATTTAGCCCAGGTACCTGCAACAAGTAGGCCCTCAGGGCAGGACTCGTCAGCTCTGCGAGCAAGGACCTTTCTCCTCAGACATCCCTCTGCCCTCAGACCTGCACGGGTGACTCATCTCACCTGGGCTCATGGTGTCTGTAGCGCCTTGGAACTGTGCATGTCCTCTAGTAAGTTCTTTGATGGCAGGACGCACACCTCTGCCCGTGGGGTGCCGGGGCCCGAATCACCTGTCGGGCACGTGCCTGACGGCGGGAGCAGCGCACTCAGAGCTCCCTGCCCCAGCCTCTCTGTGGGTGAAGGGGGAGAGGAGCAGCTCCCCGCAAGGTTTTCCGTATGGATCAACCCTTGTTGCTCACGGAGGGTTTTAGTGCAGTGGGAATCGATGCTTAGCATGTAGCCCCTCATTGGTTTGCCCAAAGGGAGCCGACGTTCAGAGGAACTGCTGAGATTGTACACATCTGGGAGTGATTTCAGGGTGGCTGTCCTGAGTGCCCCGAGAGAAACAGAACCCTGAGTTATAACGGCTGTTCTAGTGTCTTAGCTTACCAAGGCGAAATTTTTAAGACTGACTATCTCATGAAAACCTCCTAGTGAGTTTTCCTTGTTCTATTACTACAATTACGACACAGAACACATTTTGCATTTCTTACGTACACGGTACGTAGATGTTTGTGTTCGTTGTTATAAAAATATATACAACAGCTTTATGGAAACAATTCAAATGCCATATAACCCGCCCTTGGAAGGTGTACAATTCCGTGGTTTTTAGTATATTCACAGAATTGTGCAACTGTCACCACAGACAGTCTGGGAACGTTTTCATGCCCCCACCACCACCAAGTGTCGCAGCCCTAGGCAACCACCAGTCTGCTGTCTGTCTCTGTGAATGTGCCTGTTATGGACATTTTATAGAAATAAAATAAAACAATATGTGGTGGTTTGTGATTGGCTTTTTATTTAGAATAATGCTTTCAGGGTTCATCAGTATTGTAGCATGTGTGAAATCAGTGTCTCTTTTCCTGTTGTGGCTAATATTCCATCATATAAATATGTGTATGTGTATATATATATACACACTTCCCACATTTTATTCATCCATGTATCCTTTGATGCACATTTGGGTTATTTCCACTTTGGGGCTGTTATGAATAATGAATAATGAACATTTGTATATAAGTTTTCATGTGGACATACGGTGTTATTTCTAGGAATGAAATTGCTTGGTTAGTTAGCTTCTCGAGGAACTGCTGCACTATCCTCTAAAGCTACTGCACCATTTTAGTCTTTTGGAGCAATTTTTGAGGAAGCCCTCTTGGCTTTTACAAACAGACTGGTGACTCTGTACAAAACAGTAATACAAGTTTAGCATCTGAGTTACGGCCTAACTTCTGCTCCCTTCTCTCTGCAGTTTTCAGGGGAGAACGCAGAACGCTTAAAGAAGACATATGGCAGGTTCTGTGGGCAGCACAACCAGTCCGTGAACTACTTCAAAGACCTGTATACCAAGGATAAGCGTTTCCAGGCGTTTGTAAAGGTATCGATGGGAAACATGAGCATCCCCGTCATTGTCCGGGGCGTCACATACCCTCGGGTTTAGTGGAGCCTTCGCCCTCGGGTGGCTCCTGACCGCTCGTTTACTCCCTTGCAGAAGAAGATGAGCAGCTCAGTCGTGAGGAGGCTCGGCATCCCAGAGTGCATACTGCTGGTGACCCAGCGCATCACCAAGTACCCCGTTCTATTCCAGAGGATACTGCAGTGCACCAAAGGTGAGCCGCCTCCTCCTCGTTCAGCCCCGCGTGCCGGTGTCCCGAGCCCCTGTGCACCAGAGACCCTATGGAGGAGCTCTTTCCTGCTCCAGTGGGTCTAAAAGAGACCCTGGGTTTTACCCGAAAACTGTTGGTTTGAATGAAAACCTGAAATACTATGTAGGCGGACTCAGGGCGGATGATAGCAAGGAGGGAAGGAACCATGTACTGATCCCATCCCGAGTTCAGGGACCTGAGTAGCTTCTCCCTTGTCACTAGACAAAGAGAGAATTCCCACCAGTTTTCCCCGTAAGTGCTAGAACGGCTGCTGTTCCTTATTTTCTCGGTACTTGCTGGTTTCTCTTCTGGCTAATCCTGCTCATGGGCAGTTACATTTAAAGATTAGTAAAACAAAGACAAATAAATGGTTGCTCCTCTTTCTCCTTAAAAAATGTTTGGTTCCTACTGCCTGAGAAAGTAGCATGTAATTGCATGTTATCTGTATCACTGAAACTGACTTTATCTGGAGTTTAACTGAAGTCTGAGCGAGGCAAGGGGACATGCCCTTGGATCCATGGGCTGAGGGTAGCATCCCCCCCCTCCTGCTCACGTCTGAAAAACAGAATTATGCTTTCCTTCTAAGACAACAAAGCGGAGGAGGAAGACCTGGCTCACTCCTTGAGCCTGGTGAAGAGTGTGATCGGAGCTGTAGACAGCGAAGTGGCCAGTTACGAAAAGAAAATGCGTCTCAATGAGATCTACACAAAGACAGACAGCAAGTCGATCATGAGAATGAAGAGCGGTCAGATGTTTGCCAAGGAGGACCTGAAGCGGAAGAAGCTGGTGCGGGACGGGAGCGTGTTTCTGAAGAACGCGGCAGGGAGGTTGAAAGGTAAGGCTCACGCTTGCTCTGAGTCTGAGCGGGCGCCGGACGGCAGCTGGCAAAATCCAGAGATTCCTGTTAGAAGCCCACCAGCAGATTGTTCCTAGGGAGCCCACATCCAGACATCACGCAGCAGCAGCCCTCCTTTCATTGTTCTTAATCTGCCATCAGAGAGGACTGGTTTAAAGTAGCTTATCAAGTCATAAAATACGGCAAGTTTACCAGGAAATGCAGTCGGGTCAAATGGAAAAGGAAATTTTAAGAAGCAAAGCAAGGGGAAAGATTGACACAGAAACACAGGTGGTAAGGAGGTGTGTTTGCCGACAAGGGAAGGGTGGCAGGTTTGGGATGGGGGCTCTGGCAAAGCATCAGCGCCTTCAGCCAGTTCACAGAGTCGGCGAGAGGAGAACTCTGCATCCCTTGCTCTAAAGAGGTGTCAGAGGGACTTTCAGCTCCTGAGACCTCGGAGTAATGTAGTTATTAACTCATCAGCTGCATTTATTAAACTTGGTGGTATTTGTGCCTTTTATCTTGAAAGAAGAGAGATCACGAAACACAATTGCGTTTAATTTGGTTTTAGTTTTTAGTTTGCAAATGATCAGCTACATCGAGTTAAGGAAGCTACGAGGTTTGTGAATTCATCTGTACATTTGATTTTTTAAAAAGTAATTCTTTTCATCAAACCTGTACTCTCTGGGCCTGTGTGGCAGCTCTGACTTCCCCAGTGGCCCAGAGTGTACCCCCCTTCCTCAGTCGCTGTGCACAGAAGCAGGCGGGCCCTGTGCCCCCAGCTCCGCCTCCACAAGACTGAGGGGGCGGAGTGTGTGCCTCTGTCCCCCCCAGGGTGGGAGTGATGCGCCAGGCGCTGTGGTCAGAGAGGACCCAGGGTCCTTAGCCAGAGTCTCCCCGTGCTGAGACCACACAGTGAAGTCTAGGCGTCAGACGGGTTCAAAGGTGAATGAAGCAGGACCCTCCGCCCCTACCCACTCCACCATCACATAGAGGCGGGGAACAGAATGAAGAGACTGCTCTCCAGCAGGACTCTTTCGTCCTCAGGGCCTGGCTCGGGGCGCTCTCCCACTGCCCCTTTGCAACTGTCTGCAGCAGACCGAGGGGGGCTCAGCCACACCTGCCCCTTCCTGTAAGGAGCTGAGCTTTCTAGAGCCACTGCTACCCAGAGCTAGCTCTTTGTTCTCTTTCCTTTACAAAGCACTTTATTTATCCATTCCCGAAATAAAAACTAATGGATTCCAGCTGTTGGAATAACATTGCGGTCAAGCCCACGGCGGAACGCTCGGTTTTTGGACCTGAAAGGCCGCCAGTGGGGAGGGGAGCTGGTGTCGCGTCCTCCTCACCCGTAGTGAATGCCTGCCAGGGACAGCCAGTACTGTGTGGGGCGCCCTGCGACGGGATGGGGTTTCTCTGATCCCCCAGCACCCATCCTAGCAACCTCAGGGTCCAGTGAAGGTGGAGCTTGTATATTAGAACTTTTTTTTTTTTGGCAGGCACATGAGTTACTTAAACGTAAGCTTTAAAAAAAAAAAAAGAAAAAAGAATGGAACTAATGGTAGTGCATGGAAAATTACTCATCTAGGCTGAAAAACTTGACCTGCCTAGAAATCAGACCTGTTTGCTTCTATTTTCTTAAGGGCTTTGCAGTGAGTTCCGTGGAGTGGGGCCTCCAGTGGTGGCAGAAGCGGTAGAAAAGGCGGGAGGGACCTGACCCCCCCGGGGGGAGGGGCTTGTCCATGTCGGTTCTGTGCTTTCCCCAGGGAATCGTGGGGGCTCCCCTTGCCAGAGCGGCCAGGCTCTCAGAGCTCAGTTGCTGCCTCAGCTCCAGAGATGTCGGGCTTTGTCCTTAAGGGAAGGAAGAAAGGTGTCACTTTGTGCTCCTAGAGAATTAGAGCAAGAGTTTGTGGCATTCTTTCTGTCCCTCAGTCCAACTAGAGGTGTTCATTTGGGTTTTCTTTTATTCCACGTGAGAAGCAGAGAGGGCTCTTTCCGTGGCACAGAGGGGCCGAGGTTGACTGGACGCGACGCCGCTGTGCCCACGAGCCTGTGGAGTCAGGGCGGTGGGCGGCCCTTCCTGTTCTCCGGGGCATGTGAAGCCTACCTCTCGTTAGCTTAGACATCCTTCTGCATCACCTTTTGGCAGCTGCCCTGGCTGCTATCCCACGCCTTTCCCATCGCTACAGTCGGGAGAGGAGAAGTACTGTGACCTGAGCGTTTGGTGGGCTGTGTTGCTGTGTAACGTCTGTTCAAGTCCTGCTCTTCAGTTGTATTCTTAGAGTAGTTTATGCTTCAAATCTTGCCTTGTGGGATATCTCTCTCCAGAACTAAATACCCTTTTCCACAACAAGGCATTGGTGGTAAAGATCCCAGTGCAAAGTGCCTCTCAAACTCTAACGACCAGACACGGGTTGTGGCCGGATATAGGACGGCTGCCTCGGAGGAGGGTTGTCTCTGACCCGTTCTGCTCTGAATTACTAATAAAAGTGCCCTGGTGGTACCAAACGGCTAACTAGTCACTGTTCTCTCTTCCCTGCCCTGACACGACAGAGGTTCAAGCAGTTCTGCTGACTGACATCCTGGTTTTCCTTCAAGAAAAAGACCAGAAATACATCTTTGCGTCATTGGTAAGCAGAACTGTTAGCAGTCTCCTCTTGATTGTAATTAAGGATAGTATTCAGAGCAGCTAGAGGTGACTATTGAACGTAAATGAAACACTGTATTTTTGGCCTCCCGTCCACTCAAAATTACCTGGCTCAGGACAAATTCCTCTGAGTGATTTCTTGTATACTCTTAACATTTTCTGTCTGCGCCCCCCACCCCCAAATTATTTTCTGTTAACTTACAATCCTTTTGAGAGCCTTGGGCATGCGATCACTGGGGTATTTCTCACATGTTATGCCCCATAAATCATGCTAATTGATAACGTCGCCACCCAGACTCTGTGGGAACGTGCAAGGGTTCATCGTGTAGAAAACATGACTAAAACCTTTATGGCCATAAACTGTAATTTCCTTTACGGAACTCTTTTTCTGTTTGATAAAATGTGAGTGATATCGTGAGATATCTCTCATTATCCTACTTCCGCTGCTGTTTGTTAGAACACATGCTTTTAAAAGGCGTCTGGTGTCCCCTGAGATCGAAGTTAGGAGGCCGTGTATGTTTCTCACTTCCACCCTCTCCCCTTTTCCAGGACCAGAAGTCCACGGTGATTTCCTTAAAGAAGCTGATCGTGAGGGAAGTAGCACATGAGGAGAAAGGCTTGTTCCTGATCAGCATGGGCATGAAAGACCCGGAGATGGTGGAGGTCCACGCCAGCTCCAAAGAGGAGCGGAACAGCTGGATCCAGATCATCCAGGACACGATGAACACCCTGTAAGCACCCCACGGCCCGGCCTCCTCGTGCCTCTGTGGCTTCAGAGTCTGCTGGGCAGCCCCCAGAGTCAAGGATGTCTTAGGAATGTTTTGTTCTGTTTTATTTTGGTTGTTTTAGGAACAGAGATGAAGATGAAGGAATCCCTAGTGAAAATGAGGAAGAAAAGAAAATGTTGGACACCAAAGCCCGGGAATTGAAAGGTAAAGCCATTGGAAGGGGTCTGAGGCCCTCGTCCGTGGACGGTCTCCTGTCGCGGGAGACTGTGGTTCCTCCCAGGGCCTGGGTCCCGGAGCGGCCCCGCAGGCCCCCAGGGACAGGGAGATGGAGAGCTGTTAACAAAGGAGAACCCCGTCTGAGCTGACACGGCCCTGGTACCAGACAGCTGTAAGAATGTGTTGAACCCTAGATCGAGGGAATATTGGTTCTCTTGTCTCAGTATCAGTGTTCTTGGACCCCTTGTCGCAGAAGAATTTTCAAAAATCACGGTCACATCTAAGACAAAAACAGGAAAGAAAGGTACTTGAGGAAAATAATCTTCCAGTTAATCTGCTTTCACATTAGTTACCTGGGTTAATGGTGCTGGATACTCACAAGTCAGTTAGGAGGTGGTCTGGGGAGAGGGTGCCCAGTGATTATGCCTGACCACTGCTTATTAAGCCCCCACTGTTTTGTGTAGTCTTGTCAGCACCCTGCAAGACCAGCATTCTCATGCCCGTCTTGCAGCTGAGGAAGCTGAGGCCCAGGAAGGCTGAGCAGGCCAGGCCCAGCCGCCGCTGGTGGCAGAGCCCGGGTTTTGCTCCCTCTTTCTAGACAGCAGAGCCTGATGCTCATCTATTTGCCGGTGCTTATTTAATGTCCTGAAGTAAGCACTGTGCTTTGGATAGCGTCAAATAAATGTAAGCACCCAAGGAGTTTACTCAGTCCTTCACGCTGAACAAAGCGATAACACTCTGTTCTGGGGTGGGGTGGGGGCAGGGAGAGATGGACAGACTGAAACCTGGGCCAGACTTACATCAGCTGTGTTGGCCTGTGATGAGGACGACAGGGGTAAACTGCTTTTAACGTGAAGGAAGCACCTGGCCAGGCACACTGCTCGGTGGTAGGGATGCAGAGATTCCTAAAACAGAGGCCCTGTGTTGGGAAGCCCACACTCTCACCAGGGAGGCGCACGTCAGTGACAGGCCACCAAGTGCACGGCGAGGCCCAAGGGCTGTGGAAAAGGCCTCCCCGTGTCCGCCAGGGAGTGACCGGGTAGGACTGTCTGGGGGGTCCGAGGCTAAGGGATGGGAGATTCAGGCAGCAGGTCTTGAAAGGCAACAAGGGAATGATACACTGTTTTTAGCAAAATTTAAACTTAAATCTTTTCATTAGTATGGAAGCCAGTTGGGAGACTTGCTTGAGGGAGTTGGGGAACCTCTGGGAGTAGAAAGACCGATAGGGAGGCTGGGGAAAGGCTCAGTGAGAAATGGGCTGGAGGGGGTGGACCCGAGTAAGAGGTAAGGACCCATGTGACCAAGGAGAGTGAGCAGGTGACCTCTCCCAGGACTCCAGCTCGAGTAAGCTAGAGGGCGCAGACTCGTTGCCTGAGGAAGCGGGCGCAGGCTGCAGGGAGGTGGTGGGAGGGCGAGAGTGAGACGAGGGTTCTGACACGCTGAGAACGAGGCTTCTAAGTGGCGGTCGCCGCCGGACAGTGGGGCACGTTGATCTGACGCTCACGAAGGAGGGTGGGGTCTGGGACACTTTCTGTGGGCCGTCAGCACCTGTGAAGTAATTGATGAAGTAGTTGAAGCCGTGGGAGGCAGGGAGATCCCCAAGAGGAAAGTGTGTCAGGGACAAACAGCAGCCCAGATGGAGCCAGGGGGACCCCAGAGGCTCCACTGCAGGTGACAGTTCTGTGCTGAGAGAGGGCTTTAGGAAGGGGACCAAAGATGTCCTCAAAGGAGGCAGTGAGACAGGTTGAGGGGGGGATCATCCGTGCTGGAAAGGGTGCCCCGAAAGGGTGTCCGTAGGTTCCTTGCTGGAAAGGGTGCCCCGAAAGAGTGTCCGTAGGTTCCTTGCTGGAAAGGGTGCCCCGAAAGGGTGTCCGTAGGTGCCGTGAGGGCGGGCGGCCTTGGGAGGAGGGGACGTAGTGATGGGCAGGAGCCAGAGAAGTGGGGGGTGAGAAAGTAGCAGGCAGCAGGGGAGTGGAGACAGAAGTGCAGTGTGTGCTGTCAGAAATTCCGATGTTCGCCTAGAAGGGCCCAGGATAGTTTTTACCAGGTAGAAATTACAGAATGAAAACTTCGTTCAGCCGTCGTGATAAAAAATAAAGGGGAAAAAAAACTGCTGGCATCCTCTGTGCTGTCCCATAAATTACCACAAGGTGGCGCGTGGGTCTCTGCGGTCAAATCACAAGACCTTTTCTCTGTCCACCCTGCAGAACAACTTCAGCAAAAGGACCAGCAGATCCTGCTCTTACTGGAAGAAAAGGAGATGATCTTCCGGGACATGGCTGAGTGCAGCACCCCTTTGCCAGAGGAATGCTCCCCAACTCAGAGCTCTCGAGTCCTCTTCCGGGCCAACACAGAAGAGGCTCTCAAAGGAGGACCTTTAATGAAAAGTGCAATAAATGAGGGTAATTTCTGTTCATTGTTGCCCCTTCTGCATCACCTCCCAATGTGGTTTATACACGAATATTACTTTTTACTGTAAAACAAAGCACACACACAGAAAACAACACTTCAGTTTTGTGGGTTCGCAGGTAGTATCTTTTTTTTTTTAAGATTTATTTATTTATTTTTAGAGAGGGAAGGGAGGGAGACAGAGAGAGAGAGAGAGAAACATGAATGTGCGGTTGCTGGGGACCGTGGCCTGCAACCCAGGCATGTGCCCTGGCTGGGAATCGAACCTGTGATGCCTGGTTCACAGCCCACGCTCAATCCATTGAGCTACGCCAGCCAGGCCACAGGTAGCATCTTGCTGCCACTACCCAGTTTAAGAAATAAAATGTGGCAGACACCCTAACACTTCCACATGTCCTGCCCCCATCAAAGCTCCCCTCCCTCCCTCCAAAAAAGAACACATATTGTGATTTTTACAGGAGGCACTTACGTTTCTTTATGGTTTTGTGGCCAGGTACCTCTTCATAGACACTCTAGTGCAGTCTTGCTCCTGTTTTTTGATGGCTGAAGTTTAAGTTATAGCTCCCCCCCATCCCGTTCTTTTCCCCACAATTTAACTTGGAGAGATCTGGGGTTTTAATGTGTAAAATGTCATGTTTTCTTTCTGCAGTGGAGATCCTTCAGAACCTGGTGAGTGGGGGCCCGGGAGGCCCGCTCGGGCAGGCTGTCGGCAGCCCCGCTGGGCAGGAAGGCACGGTCGGCCCCGTGTCCTTGCCCCGGAGGGCAGAGACCTTCGGCGGATTCGACAGCCATCAGATGAATGCTTCAAAAGGTAAGTGACTTTGAAGCCACGTACTTTTATAATCGGTCCTCGACTCTCCTCCTAAGTAGCTAGCTGCTAAAACACTCAAGAACTTCTGTCAGTGCCACGTTGGTTTTGAGTAATAAAGACGTTCCTGGATCTCAGCTAAGCTGTAGTCAGAGGAGTAATACTTGTCTGATTGCTTCTAGTTGTTCTGCATCAATAAAAATTAATAATCACTTAGCTGCCACCAGGTGGCTTCCCATCCTTTGGCTTTTTGTAGGATTCAGAAATATCACATCCCTAAGCTATATACCTTGTATTTCTTTAAGATTTCTGTTGTTGTTTTTTTAAGATTTTTATTTATTTATTTTTAGAGAAGGAAGGGAGAGAGAGAAAGAGAAACATCAATGTGCAGTTGCTGGGGGCCATGGCCTGCAACCCAGGCATGTGCCCTGACTGGGAATCAAACCAGCTGGTTCTCAGCCTGAGCTCAGTCCACTGAGCTACACCAGCCAGGGCATATATCTCGTATTCTTTTCTTGGCTAATCTGTTTCACAGCCTTTAAAAACAAATTTATTTCTTTGTTCAGGAGGTGATAAGGAAGAGGCAGATGATGGCCAAGATCTTAGGAGAACAGAGTCGGATAGTGGTCTGAAAAAGGTATTCACCCCCCCCGCCCCAACAAATACACTGAGACCTTCTTAGCACTTCCCTGTGAGTTCACCGTCCATGAAATTCATCCACTCTGATCTCGTTTTGCATGCTTGACTTGGCTGTTTTCATTTCCTACTTTATTTTGAGAGGAAAGCACATTTTTAAACACACAGTACAGTCAAGAGTCCACATATTGCTGGCCGCTTGGTCTCTCTGGCTTAGAGCTTCATGTGTACATCCAGGGCCTGACCAGGGCCCTGGCAGGACCAGTTTCGTCAGGAGGTTTGTTTAAATGCCCAAACCGACCTGGACTCTTTACAAGGCGTGAGAACCAGATCAGCGTCAGATCCTACCCGCCCCCCCCCAACCCTGCAGTGGGAGGCTGTGGTAGGAGGGGACAGACGTGGGTCGCCACAGCATGGCCGAGACACACTCGAGATGCAGTTCCTGCCTCAGGACCTCCGTATTTTTAAAACGCATGTTGTTTTGTTTTATAGGGTGGAAATGCTAACCTGGCATTTATACTTAAGAGAAACAATGAGGTAAGGACGTTACGAGCTATTTAAGAGTATGACTGTATTATAATTGCTAGGTTAGGAATGCTCGTTTTTGTTTTGCTGGGGCAAACAGGCCAACTCCTGGCCGTGCTCTGCATGCTTCACGGTGCGGGTGTCCCGTCCTGCTTTCCCCCAGCCCAGGGTGTTGCCTGGGCGCCGCCCCGCAGCGCTGCCTCCTGCTGACGTGGCCTCTGCTTCTCTGCTCCGGAGAGGACTCTTGCTTTCTCTGTCCGCCAGCTGTGAGGCCTCCTCAGAGGCGTCTCCAGTGCAATCACACGGAGCACAGTCTGTAGCCACCTTTCCTGCCACCCGAGCCCGGGCCACAAGAGCCACTCGCCTGCAGTGTGGCGGGTTAATCTGTGGGCAGCGCTGTGTGGTCATTTCTTATCCTGCAGGGCCTCACGTGGAGCTCCCTTCCTTGAGCCCTGCTCTTCACACAACACGTGTGTCACTCTGAAAGTGGCCTCGGTGTCCTGCTCGTTAGAGTTCGGGCTCTGGTTCGAGTCTTTCCCGCCTTCCTTCAGCTGAGGCCCGCCGGTCCTGCAAGGCACCGGCACTCCTTTCCCTGGCTGCCCCTCCCCGGTTCCGGCTCCGGAAGAGTCCTCGAGGCCGCCATGCTCCGCAAACTCCGTTTCCTCTGCGCGCGCGGTTCTGCGTGTCAGTGGACCGGAACTCTGCACACGACAGTGGCCTTCGGGAGGCGTGCCTCTCAGGGCCGCCTCTGTGTTTCTTCGTGCTCTCTACCTAGACCCTAAATTCCTGAGAAGTGTTGTTTTCAGATTCTACATTAACGGGACCGTTCCTTTTTTCTTCTAAAGCACAGAGGGGTGTCGTTTTCTCTTTGTGGGCGTGGGAGCCCAAACACTGCGGCACCCTGAAGGAAGGCTGTTCTGCATCTACCCTTCAGTGGGACGGACTTGCTCCCGCACAGCCCGTTGCTCTTGGTGTCTGCTGCTTGAAAATTAGGTCTTTGTTGACTTCCACGTGGCGGCCTCTGCCCTGTGTTTAGTGAGAAGGGGCAGGGAAGAGACAGAACAAGACCAGTGTTTTCCGGGCATTGCAGCCTGGGCTCCACACTGCAGATGCCCAGCCAGCATCGGCTGCTCTTTTGTGACACCCCCCGCCCCCTGCTGTTAACAGTAAGCTTAAGTGAGGGGTTAAAGGTATTCTCAGATATGCCTAAGCCTGAGAAGTACTTTTTGTGTGTCTTAAGTATTGTAACAGGAATAACGTATTCATGGCAGAAAATTTGAAAACTGTCCAATAATGTACACAAAATAGAATAGAGAAACATAATCTCACCACTGAGAAATAACTGGGGTTAAACACTCAGTGCTTCTCTTTCCAGCCTTTTCTTCTACGTAACACACATTGATGTGTCTGGGTGTGTGTGAGTGTGACTGGTATGAAAATAGTGTTACACGGCTTGTATCACTACTCCCCGGAGCGTCCTGTCCTGTTTCTCATGCACATTAGAAGCATTTCCCCCGAGCACATTTACTCGGACATGCTCAGTCACCGGGGCATACTGGGATGTCGTGCCCCAGAACTTATGTAACCTCTCCAGGGGTGATTGGTTCTGTCTCTGCTGCTCTGCTGTCCGCGTGACGCAGCCCAGACCTCCTTGTCCAGGCGTCCTCCCCGCTCTGCGCGTGCTCTGCCCCCCGGAAAGGAGGGTCCACGAGCACAGCCCCGCCATCGGGGCCCAGGCTCCTCCTCGCCTTCCTTCACCGGCATCGGGGATTTTCATTTTCCAAGTGACATTGTGTTGGTTTGAGGCGTTCTAGTGGTATCTCTGTCTTTGGCAGTGATGTGATTTCCAGTAAAGCTGAATCGTTTGTAATACATTGTACAGTTGACCATTTGTAGTTCTTTTATAAATTGCTGGTTTGCATTCCTGGCCTGTCTTCCTATGAGAGTATTCATTTCTTATTGATGTATGAAGGCTTCTTTAAATCAAGCCTTCTGGTTTTGTTTGACTTTCTGGTCAGTGTGTCCTTTTTGCCTTTTAATTGTACGTTTTACATAGTGAAAGTTGAAGATTTTTGTGTATGCGTTTGGTTTCTTCCATTGCATTCCCTGTTTCAGGGTCAGGAGGACATTCTCCTGTCTTCTCATAGTTCCTTTTTTAATACTTGGCATTTTAATGTATCGGAATGTTTTTCTTGTGTGAGCCAGGATTCAAACTTAGTTTTTTATAATGATTTAGCCAGTTTTCTCAGGAAAATTCATTGAATATTCTCCGTTGATTTACACATGCTCCTTCTATCATATACTAAACTCATACGATTTGCTTCCAGGCTTTCTGCTCTGTTCGATGGGTAGACACGTCGTTTTTGTGCCCATCGCTTTAAATAATCGGAGCTTTCTCTACAGTACCATGTGCCAGTGTCCCTCCTGCACACAGTCGTTTGTTTGGTCTTGTTTCGTTTCTCTTGGCTAACTGGACCTGCTTTTTCTCTTGGTGCTTTCAGTTTGAAAGTACTTTGTTCCCGTGCAAGCACCTTGCTGTACGTGGGGAGGTTACCTAGTCAGATGGGAGGCGGGCGTGCGGCTCAGTCCTGACCAGACCTGTCCCTGTGTTCCCTCCACAGCAGGTGGCCCAGAGCATCGTCCATCTCCACCAGCTCCTCAGCACTCTGCAGGTGCGTGCCTTTCCCTCTCCCCCTTCACTTCTTTCTTTCCACAGAGATGGTAAAGAGGGTGCATTGGCCTGGACTTTGCATCTGTAAGTTTCTTATGAGTGTCCAGGGCCCTCGGTCTAGAGGAGAGTGGCTCTCGCGATGAGGAGGGGGTCACAGGACGCAGCGGTTAGGGTGGACAGCTGGTGGATGGCAGTTCCGTGTCAGCCACGCCCCAGGAGGCGCCAGCACGCTCTCGGGCCCTCCTGTCACTCCAGAGAGGCTTCAGTAGGGTTACGAGTGTCCCTGTCCCATTTCTCTCCGTGCTGTTCGGATAGCAGGGCCCTTTCTAAACAGCTGTTCTTTACACTTCCCGGGAACATCTTCCAACTCTGCTCGCTTTCATTCTTTAAGAGCTAGCTAATCCCATCCTACCTGCCCCCACCTGCCAAACACACTCCACACCAATGCTGGCGCCTGCAGACAGCACGTGACCAAGTCTGACAGAACGCTGAGTTCCTGCACCGTGGGCATCCCTGTTTGATGACTGGCTGCCCACGGGTCTCCTGGAGTGTTTTTCCCAGACCAGCTTTAAAGGAGAGCACAGTGTACTCTGTCTAGCGACTAGTGCCCCCAGGGACTGGGTCAGGGGGACAGGAAGCAGGAAGCTCGCTGTCCTCCTGGCCAGAGGTGCATCTGTCTCCTCCTGGTGTCTCCCCCAGGGGGTAGTGTTGCAGCAGGACACCTACATCGAGGACCAGAAGCTGCTGCTGGCCGAGAGGGCGCTCACCCGGAGCCTGTCCCGCCCCAGCTCGCTCATCGAGCAGGAGAAGCAGCGCAGCCTGGAGAAGCAGCGCCAGGACCTGGCCAACCTGCAGAAGCAGCAGGCGCAGCACCTGGAGGAGAAGCGCAGGCGGGAGCGCGAGTGGGAGGCCCGGGAGCGGGCGCTGCAGGAGCGCGAGGCCCGGCTGGCCCAGCGCGAGGAGGAGGTGCAGCGGGCGCAGCAGGACCTGGAGAGGGACAGGGAGGAGCTGCAGCAGAAGAAGGGCGCCTACCAGTATGACCTGGAGAGGCTGCGCACGGCCCAGAAACAGCTGGAGAGGGAGCAGGAGCAGCTGAAACGGGACACGGAGCGGCTCAGCCAGCGGCAGGTGGACCGCGACGCCTGTCAGGTAAGAGAGCCCCCAGTAGAAGGGGTTTGCTGTACTTGTCGCGGATACAGCGAAGAGCCCTCTGTGGGCAGAGCACCGGGAGGAGGCCGGCCAGCCAAGATGTAAAGGCTGTTTCTGTACATTATCTTTTACACTAAAAGGGGCAGGTGAGGAAGCGGGTCCTTTTCTCGTTTTTTCATCTCCAAGAGGCTGATGAGAGTGGAAACGCTGGGGGTTTGGTCACGAAGTTGTCAGAGACTTGGAGCTGACGGGCACTTCCGCAGCGTGTCTGAGACAATTTCGGGGGCCATCCCTCTGCTCTGTGCCATGTAAGAAATCAGACTTTTCACCCCCTGAAGGGACCCGCAGCGGACGGGGCGGGGTGGAGGGGTGCACAGCATGGATTAGGGGCCACGCAGTGCCTGTGAACACCAGGCAGCAGTAACACCAGGCAGCAGTAAGTGGCTCCGATGCGTGGGTCACAGTAAGGACAGGCGGTGGGTTCAGGGGGCGTCAGTTACAGGGAAGAGCCCACCCCCGGAGGGAGGCAGCTGCTCTTCCACGGAGGGGTTCTCCTGCTTGGGGGTGCGGGTGAAGACTTCCTTTTCCTGTGGCCGTCACTCCCGTGGGAAGGAGGCTTTTCCTTCCGCATCTGCTGGCTCCCGCTCTTCTTTGCGTGAGACTTGGTGGCGGCTCTGGGACACGGACACTCGCGGCAGGTGAAAAGCCTGAGCACACAGGTCGCTGTAGATACTCAGGTCATGTTGCATTTGATTGATTGATTGATTGACCTTGGACCATGAAAGAAAATTATATTCCCACCCTGTAGGAGGCGCAGTTTCGCTGTCTGCAGAGGTCCTCTGTCCCCTGAATGGGGGGGGCAGCCGGTGGCTCTGCACTGCTCCTCCAGGCACAGGGCGGGCCCCGCCCCCCAGTCCTGTCAGCGGGGCTTCCACAGCCGGAGAGAGTGCGCAGTAGGAGGCTGCTCGTCTTCCTCTCGCTCCCGCTTTGGTTTGCATCCCTGTGGAAGTCAGTTTTCAGATCAGCAGCTCCCCTGTGTCTCCAGGGAGTGGGAGTTTTTTTTTAAGCTGCCTCATCCAGGGTCCTGTTAATTCCGTATGATGCCGATGTTACACGCATATAGTGAAAACAGTAATGGTGTCCAAGGTGATATTTTTAACATTTTCGTAGATACTACTTGGGGGAGGGCAGGAAAGGATCTTTCTGCATCTTTCTGTATTGAGGACCGGGGAGTCCAGGGAGGCGGGTCGCACCGCGCTGACCCACCAGCTGCCCTGGGCCAGCACCCACCCGGTGGGCCCCAGGCGCCGCGGCCTCTCAGCGACCCCTTCTCTGCACGTGTGCAGGTTTCACATCGACACACCAAGCTGCTGAAGATCCCGTCCTTCCTCCCCAATCCCGAGGAGTCCCCCTTGCCTTCTGCACCTTCGATAGCCAAATCGGGCTCGTTGGACTCGGATCTCTCAGTGTCCCCCAAAAGGAACAGCATTTCTCGGACACAGAAAGATAAGGGGCCTTTTCACATACTGAGTTCCACCAGCCAGACCAGCAAAGTCCCAGAGGGTCCGAGCCAGACCCCGGCGCCCACCTCCTCCTCCTCCTCCACCACACGCCTGTTTGGGTTACCAAAGACAAAGGACAAGAAGGAGAAGAAGAAGAAGAGCAAAGGAGACCGCTCGCAGCCCCGTGGTGAGTCACACGCCTGTCTCCCTGTGGCCGTCTTGTCTTGGATTCTGAGGAGGGGGTGGGCGTGGGACAGGTTGGCGAAAGGGCTGTTCAGGTGTGTGAAAGCCCAACCGCCTGACTTCTCAGCAAATCCACTTGCTCTGCCCGAGGAGGACTGAGGCAGTAATTCAGCGAGCGTCTCAGAGCCTACTCTGCGGCAAGTGTGTGCCGTGTAGAGGGCGGTCTTCGTCTTCAGGCGTTTATTATCTAATTAAGGAATGCAAACCCTCCTAAAGGGAGCACTTTCAGTCTTTCCCACCTTCCTGTATCCACCGAGTCCAGTGATTGATAATAGTAACTCGCCCTCGGTGAGCATTCCGAGATCACGTGGACTCCTCGAAGGGTCTGTGGGGAGCAGGCAGGGCTGACTCCAACACGGGCCAGGAGCCTGCAGCTCGGGGAGTAAGTGGTGTGCCTGCCCTCGCACAGTTTGTGACTGTCCGCTCAGCCGGGCATCCCCGTCCTCACCCCCCGAGAATGATTGCGCGCTCCCTCCATGTGAGGTCGAAGAGGAGTTTGTTGCTGGCCTGTTCATGAACAGGAAGCCCAGTGCTGCTTCAGAGGTAAAGGAAGCAGTGGGGAGTGGCAGGCATCGCTGGACCTCATTCATGGAACCGGCTAGGGAACCCACGTGCGGGCTGCTGACGGCCCACCGGGCCCCTGTCATCTGTCTGTTTGGGGACGGAAAGAGGGTGTCCGCTTTTTTTCTGACTTTCTTTTCCCTCCTTGGTTTCCCCATTTCCAGACGGCCCTGCATCAGAGGTGCCCACAGAGGGTGAAGAGATCTTCTGCTGACCCCATTCCTCTGCCGGCAGTGTCACCAGCCCTGCCCTCCCGCGTCCCTGCGTGTCCACTCTGTCCCGTCGACACCGTGCTCCGCAAGTGTCTACTGCTCCGCACCGCCCCAGGCCGTGGACATGAGGAACGAGTGGTCCCGAGTGACAGGGTGGGTAAGGTGGCCCCAGACTTACCCACCCAGGTCACTGCCCTCGACTCTCGGGGTGGGGCCGGCCTTCCTGAGGATGTTACACTGAGAAGAATGTCCCCAGAAGTCCAGGCGCTGGTCTTGGACATGTCAGGAATTCCTAAAAGCTAAACGAACGTTTCCAGATGAGGGGTGCGTGCTGGCTTCCCTTCATTTTGGGGAACACAATTGAAAGTCGGACAGCAGGCAGTGTGGACTTCCTGTGTGCGCGTCGACGGTAGCCGTCGGCACAGACGGGGTGCGGCAGAACCGTGCACCTTCTGTCCCAGACACCCCTTGCAGGTGGCTTGCAGGTGCTCGGCCTCTCGCCTGCTAGGCCCCTGAGGCGGTGTCGTTCCCTGCCCACCTCACCCCTGTGGACATGGGTTTCTCATTTCATTTCAGAAGGGATGACAAACATTTGTGAAAACCAGTGAGAATGGACCTGGTGTGTTTCAAAACCATGAGATCTGCACCAGCTTGGTTTTGGTGTTTCAGTCACAGCCTCTAGCGATTTCGTTAGTCGGTTCCGGAAGAAATTCTGCACTGGCTTTCCAAGGTGTTTGCCACATAATCCCGGCACGGATGAAGTAGAGAGGCCTCCTCACTGTTACCCTTGCAGCGTGACACTTTCTGGTTGTCACTGACCATTCAGAAATGGCCACGGCCTCCTGGCAGTGTTCCTGAGACCTCGTGCGGTAACCCCCGAGAGCAGTTGCTCCTGCCTGACCCTCCCTGTGGGAGACAGCGGTCCCCTCAACGTTCCACCAATGGGGACCGCGTGCTCCCCCTGCAGGGAGCTTGTCCCCACCCTGTACTGGGACAGCTGGCCGAGAAGGAGGGTCAGTGAGGGTGTGAGCACCCACACTGTGGTTTCCACCAGTGCAGAGAGAAGAGGCGTGGCTTGCGAAGGTTCTCATTCTGTGTCACGGGGCCTTGGCAAAATCTAATTTCTTAAAAAAAAATTTTTTTTAATTTAAAGGTTTGTTGGTTCTTACACTCGGATGCTTGATGATGCCTGTGTTTTATGCCACCTGTGTTTTATGTTCTTTTCCTTTCTCCTTCTTTTCCTTCTGCGTTGGCATCTGTGTCTGTTTTCAGCTTGTCACCGGCTGGCAGGTGCAGGACGGTTCATGGGTGACATTTCCCTCCGAGGCCCCACACGCCTGCCATGCTGGTAGCTCCCAGGGGGCGAGACTGGGACATTCTCTGCTTTAAATGTGGCCTTTGATCCCTGCTTTCGCCCCTTAGGAGCTGGGTCTTTGACCATACTTTTTAAAAACAAAAAAAAACCCTGTAACTTGGTGCTTGTTGATGAATTGCAAGCTGGCCTTGCAGATGGAGATATTTATCTTTCAGTTTATTTGAAAGAGGTCTGGTTTAAAATTGTTAGCCTAGATTTGTTTTATTTATTGTGTGTGTCTGTGTGTCTGTGTGTGTCTGTGTGCGTGATAAGGATGAACATACTATTCCAACGGTTTCAACTATCTGATCACTACGGAGAAGGAACAGTGGCCCGTCTGCTCACTCCTCGGTGTCTGTCAAAGTGCCTTGAAGGCCCAAAAGAAATTACCACTGGGGGAGGGGTCCCTTTCCCTCCCTCCTCCCACCCCACCTCGTTCTTTGATCAAGGGATGTCTTCCTGCTTGAGAGCTAAGAAACTGGCCGCCTATGAGGGACCTTCGCCTGTTTTTGTCATTGAGATTTCTTACCTTTCAGTAATAGACTTTAGGGAAGAAACTGAGTTTTCTCTTGAAATCATGATGTAATACCCCCCGCCCCTCCACCCAAAGACCCTAAACAGCAAAAGCTACGTTGCTTGCTTCCTTCTGCCAGGCCCCCAGCTTCAAGGCGCAGCCGTGGCCGTGCTGGCTTTCCTGGGAGCCGCGTGGAGCTCCGGGTGTCACTTGCTGGATGGAGGCAGCCCCGCGGCTTCGTGTTGCACAGAGAGAAGTGCTCTGCCAGAAAGGGCACTGGCCGACCTCCTTCCTCTGGGTCGGCGCGGGCCCGGCCACCTGTGCCCCGGGCTGCAAACAGGAAGGGCTTCGTGCCCAAGAGGTTGGCGGTCACGCATGCCCTTTGCAGAGGCGCTGCGGGCTCTGAGCACTGGACCAGGCCGCACAGCGCGGTTCGGGTTTCAGCCCCACAGACCCGTGCTCTCCACCCGCCGTGGTGTCTCCCCTTGGGCGTGGAGCTCGGGGCTTCGGCTGCTGCACTCGTGCTTCTGGCCCCGAGAACGGCTCTGGCCAGCCGGGCTGAGCCCCGTCGGGGAGTCTTCCCCGTGATGAGCGGTTGTCTTCCGGGGCGACGCAGATTCAGTTCCCTGCGGTCATCCCACGTGAGAACGCCGTGCTCCTCCATCAAGCTCCAGAAGTCAGATGCCCCAGATTGAGTTTAAGTTTTGGGGGGTGGAGAGAGACACCTCCCAGAGTCCCCAGATTTTCAGAACCTAGGAAATGTTCTGGAAGGACGGCGTATCTTCTCTCAGTTACATCATCTCAGTGGTTGTCATCCTGCCTGGTGGCACGCCAGCAGGTTGGCTTCATTGTTGTGACAACTGTGTCGACTGGTTTCTTCTTTGAACACGGAGAGAGTTAAAAACGTACAAATTGCTATAATTCAGCCTTTGCCAACACGCCATCTTCTCCCGTCACAAGGGCTGTCTGTGGGCAAGACACCTGTGTCAAGATGGTTTTTGGAAAGGTACGAACCTTACCCCTTTTCCTCTTATGTCTCAGGGTAATGCCACTGAAGGTGGTCCCTTCGCTCGTCTGCTCCCTTCGTCCCCCGCCCTCCCCCCACCCCGGCGCGAGTGGCAGTGAGCACAGATGTGTAAGAGAGCCTTGGGGTTTGTCGGACCCTTCTTGGAGTGGAGGGGAGATGGCGTGGAGGGGTTTAGTAACATAGGCTGCCTGAAGTAAAAGTGAGAGCCACAATCTTAGAGGCCAGAACCTGATCCGGAAGTTTCGGTTCACGGAAGTGGTTCCTGTTTCATCCTTCTGTTTCCAAGGCTCTTTACCTGCAGCTGTTTCTTTCTTCCCGAGGATTTTGGAACGGACATGGGAACGGCAGTTTACTTCGGTGTCGATGGGTGGCCGGTTGTGCCCAGAGGACAGCCAAGCCCTGGGAGGGCGTTAGAGAGATGGTCCTGGTGGGTGGGCTCCCGTGGCCATAAAGAGGGTGGACCGCTTGGAGGGGACACAGCAAAAGGGCATCCACATCAGCCCCTGTCCCCCCGCCACCCCTTTGCTGGGATGCCCATGCAGTGTGGAGCCGGGAATGCGCCCGTGGAGTGCGTGGTCGGCGGAGGTTGAGAGAGAGGCCGGCCGGCCTGCCTGCCTGCCTGCCTGCCTGCCTTGAGCAGGGCCGGTGGACACGCACACGACCCAGGTCCCGACTGGCCGGGTGCCAGCCTGTTTGCTCTTCTGACCGGCCCTCAGAGGCAAGGCTGGGGGCGAAGAGTTGGTTTCGGTTCGGTTCCTCCTTTTTCCTTCAACATAGCACAACATTCCTAGTTAACCAGAGTTTAGAATCTACTGCCTGCTGGCCAGGTTTTAAAATGAGAAGTATTTTAATGCTGCCATAAAAAGAAAAAAACAGAACAAAGGCTTCTTTCCATGGCCTCCTGGCCCAATTTAATTTGTCAGAAAGATGACAGGCCTTGCATTAGTTCTCCATCTCACTAAGGTTTGAAGATGGGCAAACCCAAGTGGCTCAAGTCTCTCGCACCACAGACCGTGCAGACCTGCTGCACACGCCCAGTCTGAGTCGGCCCGTGCCGGGGCCTCCCTGCTGGGAGCCAGAGGGTCTGGCGCCCCCGGCCTCCGTGCACCCCGGGTCTTCACCCAGCCTGAACGCCTCTGCCTCTGCAGCCGCCTGACCGCAGGGCGGAGAGAGCGCTCCGCCGGGGACCTGCCCTGTGGTCGTGTTCAGCCTGTGGTTTCCCGTGTGTCACGCACCCTGTCACCCCGCCGGGGGCGCGGGGGGGTGATCGCACACACCTCATACCTCTGCTTCTGCTCGGCGTTTCCCACGCTAGGTGAGCATTCCTGTGCTAAATCCTGTTCAGTAAGAAGTGGTTAAAACCAAGATGCTGTACAGTACTTTGTAATTATGTATAAAGTAAAAAGCTGTTTTAAACTATAAAGATTTTTTTTTCAGTGTTTTCTGGAATTTTACCATGACATACTGGCTTTGTATTTTATTTATCTTCTTATCTAGTAACTGGCTTCAGATTCTTGTAAAATTCTTTTCGACCCTTCCAAAAAAATAAATGTCCTCTAAGTCTTCACTGTGGCTGCTGTGTGCCTGTCCGTGTGGGCTTCCTGGGGGGGTCTCAAGATACTCTGGGTTCCTTGTAAAAGGGGTGTAGCCCCTTCCCCAGCTGTAACGAGAGCCTTTTCCCCAGTGAACGCTGTTTCTTTATTTGGGGACAGAAAGCGGGAGGAGATCCTGAAGCTCTGAGTGTCTCCGTGGGGACTCCCACTCTCTCCTACAGCCGGGACTCAAACCCTCAGGGTGCCCAGTGTCAGAACTCTTTCCAGTTAATGAAGTAAAACTGTCCTTTGCCGTGGATTCTACAATGTGAAAAGATTAACGTTATATTGCCTTTTTGGCCTACTTTCATCACCCCATCCCATCCCCCAAACAGGGCAACTGCCAAAACTTAATTCAGGAAGAAAAATCTTATTTGCCTGGAGCAGTCTCCCCGGGGATCGACGGGATGGGACCGCAGAACGCTGGGGGCTCCACTGAGACATCGCTGAAACACCCCTGAGGAGCTGTGCCTGCCCCTTTAACAGGCCCCTGCATCCCCTGGACCCTGGGGATTGTGCCATATGGTGTCAAGCAAAGGGGCCTGGGATCTTGGCATTGCCACTTGCAAGCTCATCACCCAACAATGGAAAAGAAAGTCCTGTCCTAATGCCAAGTGCCCTCCCTTTCTCAGTGAACTTGGAAGTGCACCGGTTCCTTAAGAGGCTCCTTTGGCCTTGGCAGTAGCTGCTTCCTACAAGCCAGTGACACACTGGTGCGCCCTCACGCACTCAGTGTCCTTGGCTGTCACTACAGCTGCAGCAGTCCCCTACCCTCCTGAATGCCGTCCCACAAAGACGCCTCAGAAGGGCCAGGAGAGCGGTTCCCAAGGCCTCCCACGGTCCTTGGGTCTGAGCCAGGGGTCAGGCTCTGCCTGGGAAGGAAGAAGAGCGAGGAGGTTCCATCCTTCCTTCCAGAACAGCAGACACACCTCCAGGAACACCGGACAGCCATCCCGCAAGGCTGTTGCCCCCTCCTGCTCCCGAGAGGAAGTGCTGTGCCCGGAGCCTCTGCCACAGTGCAGACCTGGCCACTGAGTGCCGTGCACAAAAGCGGCATTTTTCTGCTTGCGGATCCCCATGCCCAAGGGAGGGCCGTGCTCCACAGACTGCCCTATGAGACTGGGTGTTGCAGCAGAGGCTCTGCCCGGACAGGAAGTGTGGTAACCGATGCCACAGAACAGAACAGAAGTCTGAGTCAGGGATAAAGGTGCCAGCGGGGCCAGCAGAGAGCCTGCCTGGGAAGGAGAAAATGCGGTGGGCGCACGGGTTGGGTTTCGTCCTCAGAAGCAGTAACGAGCAGAACCGAGGTCAGCCGAGCTGTAGAGCCTCAGAAATCAGACTGGGAACTCCTGTCGCTGGGGGACCAGTCACCTCACCCCCGAGCAGCCTCGGGTCCTGGATGCCTTGTCAGTGAGAAGGATGCTTAGGCAATTGCCCCCATTCCTTCAGGGGCCTCCTGGTCACCTACAGGATGGCGAGGCGCTCTGCCACCCTGTGGGTGTCCTGAAGGGGGTGCAGCGGGAAGGGGAGTTGGGCTTGGGAGGGGTTGTGTGTGCCCCAGATTCAGGGAATGCGGGCTGCAGGGCCCCAGTGGCCTCCCCACCCCCACCTCCACCCGTCTCTAACCGCCTTCGGTATCCACGTTACAGCCTGGCCCGTCCCCAGGCCGCTCTGGCCTCCTTTCATATGCTAATTGTTGCTCTGCACTGCTAGAAATAGTCCCCACTGAAGTTGGGGCTGCTCCTCCCTCCCGCGCCTTTGTGGAACTCCCCTTGTTCCTGGGAAACTGTATCTGCAGGGGCAGAGGGGAGAGGGGCCAAGAGGACCGCCGTGGGAGAGCTGACTGGGGGGAGGAGGGACAGAGTGGCTCCTGGGAACAGTCCAGCTGAAAGCCAGACCTGCTTTGTTCTCCCTGCGGAGTTGCCCCTTCCCTTGGAGGGTCCCTGCACTTCCCACCCCACCCCCAGCTTCAGAGTTGGAGCTGGGCAGTTGCCCGGGCAACCTCCTTCTACCCAGCCTTGCCCTGTCTGTGTCCGAAGGAGGGGACGCTGGCCACCTGAAATGTGGTCCCCGGCTCTACGGGAGTCCGGCTGTGGTGCGGAGCTTGCGAGTGTGCTGGGGGGCGGGGGGGGGGCCCACGCCAGGAGGGGCTGCGGACAGAGGCCGGAGACCACTGGGTGCAGTCAGCGTCTCAGGAACTCCACCGTGACTGAAGCCGAGGCATGCTTCTTCAGTCAGACTGCACTTCCCAAGCGGGAGCTGAGGTCCTCGGGCTGCGGCAGCCACGTCCGCAGGGTGGCTGGCGACGTGGAAATCCAGGCCGAGGGGGGAGGAGGGAGCACGCGTGCCACGGGGAAACCGCAGCCCCAGTGCTGAAACCCATTCGGCTCCTTGTGTCCCAGCCGCCAGGGCTACGCAGGAAACATATTTCTAATGGGGTCTCCTTTGACTCCCCCCAAAATCTGGAATGCTGTCTCCTTCCAGTTAACTTTTGTCACACGGCTACTTAGTTGGAAAGTTACACAAGGATGGCACAAAGGAGGTGGACACTGTTGAAGGAAGCACTTAGGTACCTCACGTACCTAAGGAGAAAAGACACCGTGTACGAGCAGAGCTGGCTGGCATCTGGGCTCGGCCGGCAGCGCGTCCCCACCTCCCTGCACTGTGCACCAGGTGGGACAGCAGGCGTCTGCAGAGGCCCGGCCTGGCCCCGGAGCGCAGCTCAGACTCTGGCAGTCAGGGCCGGCGCTGGCCTGCACGGGGTGCCTGAGCCCGTCTTCCCCGTGTGCGCATGCTTGAGTTCACGGCAGGGGCGCAGGTGCTGCGGTGACTGGTGCCCGCTTCGAGTCACTACACCCGCCTTAACACGCTTGTTATTTTTGTGCAAATGAGTATCAACTGGGAGCTCCCAGTGCACAAATAGGCCCACGGAGATGAATGGAATGAATTTTCAACCAACAGTTCACAACATGGGTTTTCCAGGAAAGAATGACTCTCAGGAGAATGGGAAGCACAGGATTCTACAGGAGAATGAATGCAAAGGCTTCTAAGCTGCTGAAATCATCTGCATCAAGGGAATGGGTCTCCCCACATTCACAGGAGGGGCAGACCCTGAGCCCTGGATGGTGGGGTGAAGACAACTCGGCCCGTGACTCTGTCCCCCAAGAAAGGCTCCGGAGCCCCCAGAAAGCAGGAATGTTCTCAATTCATTTATTAAATTAGAAACAGGAAAAAGTATCCACATTTGAGGAAAGCCCCGTGAGGTCCTTTGTGCTGCGAGAAGTGTGCTTAGCTCAGCTCTGCAGCCCGACGGGGTCAGCGGCTCCTGCAGAGCTGCCTCCCAGCCTCAGGCCCCAGGGGCTTCCCGGGGTTTTCCAGCAGAGCCATCTCCTGGGACCAGAGCCCACGGCGGCAGCAGCGGGGTGGCTGAGGGAGCACCGCAGCACAGGCAGGCCCTGACCCAGAGAGTGTGTGCGGTCTGAAGAGGAGATGTGCTCTCTGCTCCAGAAGGTTCCACGGTGGCAGCTGGTGTTCATCAGTGGGCGAGCCTGGCAAGGTCCGAGTCCGCCAGAAGCCCAAGGGCTAGTGCCCTCACGGAGGTCCTGCGAGGGGCAGGGCCGAATTACGAAGGCAGCTGGCTTGTGACATGGCCTCACTTTGGAGCCTGGCCCCGGACCGGCCAGGCAGCACGGCACGGAGGGCAGGTGGGAGCCACAGGTCTTGGCCCAGGCACAAGGGTTCCCCCCACCTCCAGTGATGGCACACTGGGGTGAGCGAGCGATGAGCTGGAAACTGTGGCCCTGGGTGTCAGGGTGGCCGCTGGGAGGAGCAGATCTCTCTAGAACCCTGGATGCTAGGGAGAGACTGATGAGGGGGTCCCAGTGACTTGGAAGGTGAAAAAAAAAATGAACAAATGTCTGGCAGTTCTCCTGGGACCGTGGTCACTTTGTGAGCTCAGGGCAGAGGGGCCAAATCCAGTTACCAGCTGGAAGGCCAGGATGCCAGAGACTAGTGGGTGCTGGTTGGGGTCAGGGGTGGTGACCTCGTTGCTGGTCTCTACCCTGAGATCGTCCAGCACTGTGGGATCTACAGTGGGCACCCCGGAGTCCCTCTGGGTCCCCAGCTGCTTGTCTCGAAGGGGAGGGCCACAACCTGCAGACCAGCGTGGTCCCATCAGGACATGGGGTCATGGCTGCTGCTTGTGGAGGGGAGGCGATCCTTGTCTAACAGCATGTGGCTCTCCAGGCCCTGGGTCCTGCTGTGTGACTGGCAGGACATGTGTCTGCACCTGGGGCACAGCTGGCCTGGCGGGAGGTGGCAGAGTCACCAAGGGCACGCCCACCTCCACGGAGGAGCCCACAGGAGATTTCCTCTATAACCCACGGTCTGGGTGTCATCTGCTGGTGAGGCTGCGTGGATGCCACTGAGATCACCCTACAGGTTCTGCCCCTTACAAAGTGTGGCCTTGGTTTTCTCCTTGGTAATGTCTGCTCTCAGTCCTGCTGGACCCTGTTTCCCTGAGGCCTGGGACATCCTCTTCCGGTGACATTACAACGCCCACAGGGAAGCCCTGAGTCAAACAAAGCTGTGCCCTTGGTGCTGCCCACCCCCCTGCCCTACCCCGGGGCTTTTCCCGGCCTGGCCCCCAAGCCCCCTCCAGGACTTGCTGAAACCTACGACCTCAAAGCTCTGCACCCGTGTCCTCCTCCTGGAGGCTAAAGGAGTCCTGGCGTCACTGCATGCCCCGGGGAAGGTCCCCTCCCCCCAAACCACTGCACAGTGGAAAAAGCCTCAGGCAGACACGCCGCTGGAGAGGACTTCTCTTGTCTAAGCTCAGGACATCTCCCAAGCCCAATGCTGCCGGCCACTTCACTTGGAGGGCTGGCCCGGCGCCGGCTGAGCTTCCGGCTGTGGCGGGTAGGGACAGGGCCACTCTGTGACAGTGAGGGCTGCAGCCAGGGACAGGGAGAAACATGCAGAGCCTGCAGGGCAACAGAGAGAAAGAGAGAGAATGGGAGTCCTGCCCACGTTGACAGATGCCCGAGGAATGTCTCACAGCGACTCCGAAAGGGAAAGAAAACCGAGCCCTCCGGGCGGGCAGGCTGACTTCTCCAGACAGTCTGCATCTCATTCACCTAGCAGGTAAGAGGCAACACAGTCCCCGGGGCCTGCTCCCAGGGCCGGGTACCACCCGCTGCCTCCAGTGTCGCCCAGGCCCGCAGCACCAGCACAGGAGCCTGGGGCGGGGTGTCCCGGCAGCTGCACCCTGGACCCATGCAGACCTGTGGCCTGGGTGTGGCTGTCTGTGTGGGAGGGAATTCGGCCTTGTCCAAACAGGTCTGGCCTTTGCCCTGGCTTCCGGGAGGTGCTCTACATTGCACCTGATAGGGGTGGGTTGGCTCAGGCTGGGGTGGGGACGTCATGTGACCTAGGGTGGGGGCTCTGGGTCACCCTGTCCCAGTTGACCTGAAGACGGAGAGGAACCACGTGGGCCGTCAGGTGATCTGGCCTGAGTGCCGGGGCCCTGGTGACCATTCTGGACATGAAGGCTCCAGTGAGCGTCCGTCCCTGCTTGGCCATGCTCTAGGCGTGTCGTCACTCACCGATGCCAGGGGAGGAGCGCTGTCCTGACCCCACAGGGAGAGGACGCGGTGCTCATGCGGACACTTCTCGTTTTGACCTCCCCGCGCCCCCACGCATCTCTGGCCATGGCTGACCTTAATCTGGACTATTTCCCTGGAATATACCACAACCGTGAACATGCCAGCCTCAGTGCATTCTGGGAGGCCCTACAGTGACATGTGAGTCTGTGGTGGTCCTGGGGGGGCCCCTGCCCCGCAGCTGGTGTCAGGAGTGAGGACACTGTCGCACGGAGACCGCGCCTCAGACTCTGCAGGTTAGCCCACACTCCTCATGGAAGTGTCAGAAGACCTCTGGTGACTCTGATGTGTGGCCATGTCTGGCCATCTCTCCACTGGGCAGAAGGGCTAACTGCTTTGCTCAAGTTCAACTGGAAGGAAGGGGCAGAGCTTTGGCTCTGAAAGAGGGTCCCAGAGTCCCCCAGTCCCTGCTGCCCAACCCCGCCGTCCCTGGAAGACAGTGACCTTCACCCAGAGCGGGAACAGGGCCCGGGTGCTGGCGCTCACCTGGCTCTGCGGGGGCTCCTCACGCAGGCAGGTGCTTCCAGGTGCTGACGAAGGCCGTGGGGATGAGCGAGTAGGGCACGGTGGTGATGCAGCTCCACGTGTCCGCAGTGGGGTCGTAGCAGTCCAGGGTCTTACACCTCTGGGTCCCAAAGTAGCCCCCCACCACATAGAGCTTGTTGCCCGAGGCCAGGGCGTGGCAGGACATGCGCTTGGCGGTCATGTCCCCAATCCGCGTCCACTGGTTGGTCTCGCAGTCGAAGCGGTAGGCGGAGGCGGCCGTGAATTCCGTGTCGCCTCCCATGATGAAGATCTGGCTGCCCAGCACGGCGGCCCCCGTGTACCGCCAGGGCTGGGGGCACTCGGCCTTGATCGTCCACCGGTTCTCCGAGGGGTCGTAGCACTGGACCTTGGACACCATGTCCCGGTGGATGCTGGTGCCCCCGAAAACGAACAGCTTCAGCTTGGCACTCACCACGGCCGCGTTGCTGACTCCGTCCCTCAGCGGGGCCACCATCGTCCACTTGTTAGCCCCAGGGTCGTACTTCTCCACCTGCTTCAGGGAGACAGAAGGGGAGGCGGGGAAGACGCCTGCCAGCGACGTGTGTCCCCCCACCACGTACAGACAGTTCTCCAGCTCGGCGGAGCCGTGGCCGAAGCGGGCGATCAGCATGGGGGCCGCCTTGGACCACTCCTCGTGGACAGTGTCGTACACCCACACGTCCTTGGAGACCCCGTTCTCGGAGCCCCTGCCCCCGGTCACGTAGACCTTGCAGCCGATTGCGGAAGCACTGAACTCCTTCCGGGGGCTGGGCAGGTCTGCCTTCGGGATGATCTCCTTGGCCTTGTGGTCCACCTGGTAGATCTTGTCGCACATGAAGGTCTGGCCGCCCAGGATGAGGAGCGTGTGGCCTGCCTTGCGCGGCCGGGCGCAGGGGCTGGTGACCACGCCGTCGTTCTGCAGGATCTTGGTCTTGCAGTGCAGCGCCTCGTCTATGATGAGCCTGGTGCGCTCGTCCGCCGTGAGCAGGGCCTCGCTGGACACGGCCTCCTTCAGGCAGTCGGACGGCAGCAGGGCCAGCCGCACGCTCCGGAGGAGCTCGGGCAGGTGGGCCTTCCGCCCCTCGAGGTCGTGCTTCACCCACTGGAGGATGGCCTCGAAGACCACCCGCTCGTCCTCCGTCTCCAGCTCGTCGCTGGAGATGAGGTCCAGCAGCATGTCCTTGGACAGGCTGTTGAAGTCCTCGCTCTGCCGCACCGTCTCGAAGTGCACCAGGCACATGCGCCAGGAGAACTCGTAGAGCCGGCGGCACTGGTGGGCGTCCGACAGCAGCATCATGCCCAGGCAGTTGGAGGGGAAGAGGTTCTTCTCCAGGAACTCGGCGGCCGCGTCCCGCACGTCGTGGAACTGCAGCATGTCGCCGGCCTCCAGCAGGGACTCGGCGTTCTCCTCGTTGATGGCGATGCGCGACGAGTAGGCGAAGTCCAGCAGCAGCTCCAGCACCTCGGGGTGCAGGTTGTCCTGGAAGTTGACCGTGTCGTCCCGGCTCTCGCGCAGGCCGTGGCTGAACATGGCCTCGAAGTAGCGGCTGGAGGCGGCCAGCACGGCGCGGTGGCAGGGGAAGGCGCGGTCCCCGGCCCACAGCGTGACGTCGGTGAACATGCGGTGCTTGCGCAGTGTGTTGAGGTGGGCGAGCACGCAGTCAGGGTGCGACGCCTTGTGGAAGAGTGTGATGTTCATGGACCCTGTGCTGCTCCGCGACTTGCGGGTCTCGTGGACGCTGACCGACATGCTGAGCCAGCCTGCAGGGGACAGGGCCACAGGTAAGAGGGGACACTCCGGACACACTGACTTCACACACCCCGGCCCCCCAGCTGCCCGGCCCTCTCCCACACCTCTCGGCTCGCCTCCGTCCCTCGTGTCAGCCAAAGACCTCGCTGAGGACCACACAGGCAGCAGAGGCCGGCCTTCACCCCTGCCCTTGGCAAACTGGTTTTGTTCTCCTCCCTGAGTTTGCATCAGCTCTGGAACCAAACACCTCTGGCCTGGATACGAGCCACCCCGGGGTGAGTTCAAGCTGTGCTGCCTCCCGTGGTTACGAGAACGCGCAAAGGGTGTCCCTGGCCTGGTTAAGCCAACGTCAGGGCAACGCTAAGTAGCATGTGTGCTTGATGGCATTCCGGCCTCTGGGGATGCTGCTCATGTGGCCCCATTCCACCACAGGGGGCAAGGCTCAGAGAGCAAAGGGGCTGCCCAAGGGGCTGGAGCAGGATTCCATGCGGGCTGTCCAGTTCCAGGCCCGGTCTCTACCCTCCGCTGGCCCAAGGAGGCCGATCCTGCAGGGGCACTTGGAATGGTGTCTTCAAGGACAGGCACACCCCCAAGCACAGCCTCACACCCCTGGGGCTCCCAGCGGGCCCTGCCATGAGCGGGGCTCAAAGCGGGGCTCGAAGCAGCGCTGGCCAGGCCCCCCAGGGTCCTTCCCTTAGAGAGATCCTGGAGAGGGGCCGTCACAGCCCAAGTGCTCAGCGTAGAGACGTTTTCAGCATCCGGGGTCTCAGAGACCTCTTGACCCAACTGGGATGCACGAGGGTGTGGGGGTGAGGCTAGCTGACCACAGACTCTCACAGGCTCAGTCCGTAGGTCCCAACAGGAAGCTGAGGCCAAGGCCCAGATGACAGCGGCACATACTGAAGAGTGCAGCAATCCAGATTCGCCTCAACCAAAGGGGCGCCATTGGAGCCACCCAACCTTACAGAGGATCCCAGCCTCCTGGGCCACTTCAAGCACTTCCCCCGCCTCCCCTGTCTGTTGTCCTCTGCCCAATGGGGACAAGGTTCAGAGTGCTGGTCCCTGTGAACAGACGCAAAAGGTTGCGTCTGATTCACCCATTTGAATTTGGGAGATTCCAAAGCACTTTAATCAAAAGTCCAGACAACGGGATGACCGAAGACCCCACTGCAGTGCTGTGGAAGCAAGAGGCTCAGCCAGGCAGTCAAAATCACACATTTCAAAAAACAGTGGTCAAAAAGCAAATTAAATTCAGTGTCTTGACTCCCAAAGCCTGTGATGTCTTTCTGTTAGAAATGAGGGAAAAAAAAACACTTTTTAAAAAAATTTTGTTGAATGCATTGGGTGACACTGTTTGTGTTTGTGTGTTCACCACCCCAATTCAAGTCTCCTTCCATCACTATTCCACCTCCCCCCATGCCACTGCCACTCTTGCAATCGCCATACACTTGTCTCTGAGTTTTAGGCGGGGGGTGGCTAATCCCTTTACTTTCACCCACTCCCCTCTAACAGCTGGGGGTCTGTTCGCTGCACCTATGAGTCTGTTTTTATTTTGTTAGCTTATTTTGTTCATGAGGTTCTTACATATAAGTGAAGTCATATGGTACTTGTCTTTGACTTACTTCACTTAGCATAATACTCTCCAGGTCCACCATGCTGTCACAAAAGCTAAGATTTTCTTCTTTTTTTGTAGCTGAATGGTATTCCACTGTATAAATGTACCACAGCATTTTCTTCCACTAATCTACTAATGGGCACTTGCTCTTCCAAATCTTGGCTATTGTAAATAACACTGCAATGAATATAGGGGTACATATATTCTTTCAAATTAGTGTTTGGGTTTCTTCAATATATTCCCAGAAATGAAAGAGCTGGGTCACAAGATAGTTCCAATTTTTAATATTTTGAGGTATCCCCACACTGCTTCCCACAGTGGCTGCACCAGTCTGCATTCCCACCAATAGCGCACGAGGGTTTCCCTTCCTCCACATCCTCGCCAGCACTTCTTGTTTGTTGACTTATTGATGGCAGCCATTCTGACAGGTGTGAGGTGATATCTCGTTGTGGTTTTAATTTGCATTTCTCTGATGATTAGTGACACTGAGCATCTTTTCATATCTATTGGCCATCTGTATGTCTTCTTTGGAGAAGTATCTATTCAAGACCTTCGCCCATTCTTAAATTGGATTCTCTTTCTTTGGTGTTGAGTATTATAAGCTTTTCATAAATTTTGGATATTAACCCCTTATCGGATGTACCATTGGCAAATATGTTCTCCCCTTCGGTGGGTTTTCTTTTCATTTTGTTGATGGTTTCCTTTGCTGTGCAAAAACTGTGTAGTTTGATATAGTCCCATTTGTTAATTTTTTTCGCTTGTTTCCCTTGCCCAAGGAGATATATCAGAAAAAAAGATTGCTATGAAAAATGTCTGAGATTTTCCTACCTATATTTCCTTCTAGGACTTTTATAGTTGAGTCTAACATGTAAGCCTTTAATCCATCTTGAATTTATTGTGTATGGTGTAAGAAAGTGGTTTAGTTTAATTTTTTTTGTATCTATCTGCCCAGTTTTCCCAGCACCATTTACTGAATAAGCCATCTTTTTCCCACTGTATGTTCTTGCCTCCTTTGTCAAATACTAATTTACCATATAGGTGTGGGTCATTTCTGGGCTCTCTATTCTATTCCATTGATCTATATGTTTTTATGCCAGTATCATGCTTTTGATCACTATAGCCTTGTAGTATAGTTTGATATCAGGTTGTGGGATTCCTCCAACTTTGTTCTTCTTTCTCAAGATTGCTGTGGCTATTCAGGGTCTTTTATGGTTCCATATAAATTTTTAGAATATTTGTTCTCGTTCTGTGAAATCTGCAATTGGTATCTCGATAGAAATTGTGTTGAATCTACAGATTGCTTTCGGCATTATGCAATTTTAATGATGTTAATTTTTTTTCCTATCCATGAACATGGTATATGCTTCCACTTACTTGTATCTTCTTCATTTTCTTTCTTCAGTGTCTTATGCTTTTCCAAGTACTGGTGATTTACATCCTTGGTTAAATTTATTCTTCGGTATTTTGTTTTATTTTTTTATGTAAATGGGATTATTTTCTTAATTTCCCTGATAGTTCATTATTCGTGTATAAAAATGCAACTGATTTCTGGATATTTATTCTGTATCCTGCTACTTTACTGAATTCATCTATCAGTTCTAGTTTTTTTGGGGGGGGATCTTTTGGGTTCTTTATAAACAGAAGCAGGTCATCTGCAAATAATGATAGTTTTACTTCTTCCTTTTCCCAGTTTGGACGCCTGGTCTGATTGCTGTGGGAGTGGGCCAGCTCTTTTCGCCTCTCCGCCGCTCCTACCAGTATCAGTGTGGCTCCTTCTGTAAATCCGTGGTGATGAGACTTCTCTTCAGCTAGTCTTCAGTTGGTTATGCAGGTTGTTTGTCCTGTATTTTAGTTAACATTCCAGTTTGGTCCTAGGAGGAGGTGAGTGTAACATCCACCTACTGTGCCGCCATCTTGGATCCACATTTTCATTTTTCATTTTCTAAAGTCTATGGCTCCCTCTCTCCACTCCAAGTCAATTTTCTCCTTAAGCCATGATCTGGTAAAGGAAAGAAGCAATTTCATGCTTCAGTGAAATTGGAAATGAGTGTCCAGGTGTGTGCTCTCTCTCTCTCACTCCTTCCCTGTCCAAGAACCAGAGAAGTAACAAGCTGACGAGATCAGAGCTGCCTGGGCAAGGCCCCGCTCCTGGGCAAGGCCCCGCTCCTGGGCAAGGCCCTGCTCCTGGGCCTGGGCAAGGAAGGCAGAGGGCTTGGACCTGGCCTTGCTGTTCTGGCCCCCAAGCTCCAGGCACCATGGGCCACTGGGCTCTGGGGTCAAGAGGCTGGCCCTCAGTGTGGGGTGATGCGTGCAACCAGCAGGAGGGTGAGGGCAGGACACCGTGGTCCCCTCCTTGGCACCGGCCCTGGAGCACCTCTCCTTTCCTCTGCACCTCGGTCTTCCCTTCTGTAAAGTGAAGTCCCTGTCCTGCTCAGGCTTCTGAGTGTCACTCGCTCGCTTGCTGGCAGTTATTTGCAGGGCACAACCTTTGAGCCTCACCTTGGGACCAGCGTCATGGAGACAAGAGGCTGCACTGGCCTGGCCCGTGGGATGCGCCCCACACAGAGCTGAACTGCCCCATGTGAATTCTGCGACATGTTTCCCCAAATCTTGCTGCAATTGCTAAATCCTCATCCTGGCATAATCATCAGACACTTTCCAAAATGTGGCCATTCACTGGGTGACTCATCCGTCCTGTCCCCACTGTGCCTGGGCACCTGCTGGGGGACGACTTGGGAGGACCCCCAGGCAGGGCTCTGACGCTGAGGCTCTGCTTCAGTTCCACTCTCGAGCACCTGCATTACCGAGGTCCCTGCCTGCTCTGGGCCCCTGAGCACCTCACTGCACCCGCCCCACAGCTGACCCTGAGCCCAGCCAGGGAGTGAGGCCGTTTCTGAGCTTGAACTGAATGCGGCCCTGAATGCTTGGGCTTGGACACCGTCCGTGGTGCCGAACTCCTCTTGGATTCCCTTTACAGGCAGCCCTGTGCTGCAATGCCAGCTCTCTGCCTTATTAACCACAGGCGTGTAACCAGGGTGTCATCAGTGCCTGCTCCTGGGGGAGCGGGCTCCATGGACACTCACAGGAGCTGGCCCCTGGCTGGCCAGAGTGGACGGCCTCTGCCTTTCCTGGTATGGTCACATGCGGACACACATACCCTCTGAACCCATCAGGCAGAGGCCCCCCTGGGTTTCTGGCCCTGTGCAGCACGCTCCCTCCATCCTGGTCCCCCTTGGAGGGTGCCCCAGGTCCTCACATGAGGCAGCTGGGGCTGTGGGGTGTGCACTGGACCCCGGCTCCCTTGGGGTGTTGTTGATAGGGCTGCCCGTGAGGGATCTGGGTGGGGACTCCTTCTGGATGGGGAAAGGGTGGGGCAAGGGTGGGAATTCACATGGG